TCTAAAACAAATAAAATTTAACAAAAGTTCTTACCGGCTTGTAATTTCCACAATCCGTCAATTTAATAGTTCTATAACACAATTTTTATTCATACGTTCAGTATGTCACTACAGTATTTATTCAGATTTATCTGATAAAAAATGATTGAGAATGAATGAAGTAAGCGATTTGGTTAGATTGTTAGATACACTGTCAAATATATATTAGTATTTCTACTATATACTGGTATTGATTAGTTAGTTCATCACGCGTATCAAACAAAATATACTTTTCTCTTAAATCAAATAATATTTTAAACTTACCACTTTTCTTGATGGAAAATTAGTATCCTCTTTTATGGCGAATCGCCACTTAACTGTCTGTCTTATTAGTCGAACTTATTTCTGATTGCTCCACTTCTATTCTATTCCATTATAACCGTTTTTCTATGGACAATTCCAGTCATTACAGCCATTCAGGGACGTGTGTCGCGGCCTCGACCTGCAGTGTTATAGAAATAAAAGACAGTATGATTTGACCAATCAAGTCCGCCCTGAACAATAATTAACCATGGTCAAATATACCGCTAATGATTCAACTTGTTTGATCATAAAGTCCCCACAATATAAGTGTGGTAACTAGTGCTGTTAGATATAATAACGGTCTAATCGATGGAACTCGTTATTGTAACATTATACCTACTATCTATTCAACCTGATTGCTGTCTATTCACTCAGCTAAACTCTCTTTAATTATAACAATTTCTTCAATATTTGTCAGCTATATGTAAGTTTGTGTGTCATCACCAATAATTTACCAGTACCTCGAAGTGACAAATGAAAAAAAAACTACCATTACAAATTGGATAAATTGTTGGACAAAATGCTATCGCATATATAAGCACGTTAAAAAGACATTTTCCTAAATAGTAAAGCCGGAAGAGCTATATCTATCATCAATCATGGGTCACGGGACGAAGATATTAAGCTGAAATTATCAAAAGCAGTATTTTTGAACCAGTTGCTGGTTTTCAGCCACGCTTAAAGATACCAGCAACACAACCAGTAGCTCATCTCACACACTGTATTGTGAATAGTGTTTAGATTGAATGGCGATTTCTTGGAAATAATAAGACCATTCTTGCAGAGATATTAACTCAAATTTCTAATAAATGACTAAAATAGATCAGTATGAAACATTTGCGTTAACTTAGTAGTTCATTGGGTAATAACTTATATTGTTGAAAATGATTTGAATCTCGTGCGTCATCTTTGAAACTCATTTCACGATATGTGACCGGTGTCAAAGGCTATCTAAGTGTAAAACTAATAGGAATTCCATTACATCATATAATTTTCCAGCTACATTAATTTCTATCAACGGCCATTTTCAGAACTTTCATTGAATCCTCTTGATAATCAATAAATAAGTTAGAGAAAAGTAACTAGTTTTAGTATTTCGTGTATATTCTGTGTAAGTTATCAGTAAAATTATTTATCATAAGCTGGAACTAGGAAATTACTCTATTCCACTATTCGCTACTAAGCTTACATTATTATTAAAAATCACGTACCTAATGTTATAGGTTGGTCTGGCATTTCGCTTCAGAAGGAAGCATGACTTGAGATAAGACTTCAAACAGTGTTCCTGACTTATTGTAGGTGTATCTGTAACGGGAAGAGATGACTGGCTGTATGTAAAGACCGGTACTAGATCACAAGAGGTTCCTGAAACTCTTTATTTGGAATCGCTGACTAATTTCCCGCGTAGACCTCTTCAGTCTGTCACAGAACGGTCATTTATTTCCTAATAGTATTATATGTTGCCCATGTAAGGCTGCATTAAGTGTATTATGTAGATGGTTCGTATATAGCCGTAGGGTTAATTTCGCTATACTGAATACATTTTCAACTGCCACGATAAAAATTGTGTACTTCAGCTTGAACCACTGAAAAAAATTGACTCCAGACCCATAATGTGGTTTGTTTTTTTGCAAATGTTTCTATCTACCCGTTCGTATAGAATCAACTCATATAAAATGTATGTGTTACACGCCAGATACCTCTTGCTTCAGATATATATATATACTAGGTATAGCACAGTAGTGTTTCTATTGGGAAGGGGGGCAGTGCAGAATTTGGTGGTCCTTACTCGTCGCTTCACCTCACCTAATAATTCACAAAAACGTAACTGAATAGCACCAGATATGAATATTCTAAAATCTTCGCCTTGTAGTTTAACCTCTCACAGTAATTACATTTGATTTCATTTTCAAACTTGATCCATCATAATCACCGACAAGAAGTATACAACAATGGTATAAAAGTTTGTAACCATGGAAACTATTACTATTTTCCATAAAAGTAAACTAAGAACGGTCTTATGGCTTTTTTTTCAGACATCACCTTCCAATCCATTGATCATTGTTTTTATAAGAAGAATAACTGCTCCTGTATCATAGATCACAAGATATATCGCTTCATTTTTTGTATAAATCTGATTTTTAACTGTCGCTGTTCGGTAATTACGTTGGAAAATATATAGTGTGCTTTTTCAAGATTTTATCATTGTCATAAGAGAATTGTGTAAGATGGATATCACGGTCACCTTATCCTGGCATTTAAATGCAAGAAGGTCAGGAGAGGAGCGTAGCTTCTAAAGGAAACCATGGTGTGCAAAAACACAGCAGTTTCATTTGATATTGCTCCTTTTCTGAAAGTACTTGAACTACCTGCTAGGCGAAGTATGCATACCGAAGGCTACAGAGGTCTGGGTACAATCATAGTTTTCTGTGGTGAAGATGCATATCTAAGGATGAGGGCGGGTCTGTGCTGAAAACAAAACGAATCCAGCTCTCATTCATTGCAGTATCGGGCCATGGCTCCGAAGCACGCAAGGATGATCGCAGCTACTTCTAGCCTTGGTGCACGATAATCAAGTCTATGCAAATTTGTAAAGATAAATGTTAATATATGTCTGGTAACAATCTGCGTTATTAAGCGTCTGGAAAAAGAAGGTGAGGGTACCTTTTTATCTAGTTTTTAGCATTGTTATAAGAGAAATTGATGACCGGTTGATGCCAAAACAATTCGGTTAGAGATGGTCGCAGTTTCGGGTCATGCTCTCAGTAGCTGATAGAGTAATCGATGTTTAGCTTTGCTGGATGTTAATCAAATATTTTTTCCAAAAAATTAAAAAACAAATTGCTTTATGAACCTTCTGGAAAGAGATGCTTATTAGCTGATGATTTGGCTAAAAACCTTTGACCGTTATTTTAACAGTTCAGACTTATCACCATTAAAGTATGAAGGCTATTTGCTTAAGAAGTAATATCTGAATTATTAGCCGTGGCCTTGATCTGCCATTGCCTTCAAACAAATAAATTGTTATATATTACAAACCAATAATGATTACATACATAACGCCATGGGATGAGACGAAGAAGAAAATGAAAAATCCACCAAAATATTGAGATTTCTTGATGAGTTGCGGTGTCGATAATTCCCTTTCGTTGAAGATTTTGGCACCCATGGTGGATCAATCAGAATGATAAAACACAAGAAGACCACAGACGTTGTACAGCACATCTGCAGATGAATATCTGGAACAGCTATCTGCGGTAGGTGAAGCTTGAATTATAGAGCATACCAAATCTTCTGAAACATCGGATGCCATCAAATACTGGATTTGTCAACTTTTTATTCTTTTCAGAGAGTCTCCAGGCCTACGCTGCTAATGGTGTTATTTTTGGTAGTTCAATTATAGTCTGACATGAATATATATAAAAAAAGGTGTCCATTGTCAATAGTTAATTTATCATCAACATTCTTACATCGGATTTGAATGTTCTAAAGGAATCGACCTTCTGTGACAGCGACAATCCCTATTAATCCGGAGATTATCACGGTGACTCGAGGGTGAGCGGGCTAACAGTTCCAATATATCAAAGTTGTGGGTGAAATTAGCGGATTATTTCCAGATTTTAAAAGTAATTGAAATGCTTCTAGAACACCTGATGTCGCTCCATTTAGGTTCAATTTGACATCTCGTTAGGAGAATCTAAAGGTTAACTTTTATTCCTCATGTAAACCTGTATCTTTTAATCAATTGACTTCTTTTTTTCATCTGAACTCTAATTTCTTCGTGAACTCTAAATAAGCTGTTATTCATCTTACATGATTTTTTTTAACCAAAGTCGATCGAAATACAAGAAAGAATAAAGAAAAAGCTGGGATATGGTCGTGACCAGGGAACAACTAAAGAATTTCTTTCGGGTTTTGTTGATGTCCTCTGAAAAAAAGTCTTGAATTTCATTTCAAATAAACTTTCATTTTTGAGTTTAAACCATGCATATTGAAACAAGATTCAAACAGATTCTCTGTTGTTAATCAAAGGGAAAGAACTCGTTTTCTTGACCTTCTCTATTTTAAAACTATGGACCAATCATATAAACAAGTTACTTGATGGTTTTAAAACACAAAATTCTGAAGGGGATTTGTTGAATTATTGATCATGTTCTATGTCTTTAGCTGACAATCCAAAAGTTAGCTTATGGCTATGCTTATTCAACTTGATCATTTGTGCTGGATACTAGATTACGACTTTATTGCATGAGAGTCCGTGTAGTTCAAGACCTTCATAGAGTATTAAACTTAATTCTACTCATATATTACTGAAACTATAAAAAGATTCTTTGCACAAAATATTCCTACATAAATATTTGAAACTGTCGCTTTATGTAACCATTATAACCAATCTCTCTTCGATCAATTAATAATTTCATATTTTGGTTAAAATCTTAGAAGTGTACAAAATATATGACAAATTCGTTTATTTATATTTTTGACTATATTTTATATTTAACAAATATTCAATTGGTTTTGAAGGAGAATATATATTAGTTATATTGCCAAAATATTGATCACGTGTGACAGTGCACGTGGCGGGGGGTAACAGCTTGAGAAAATGTAATGCCCAAGAAAGATCAATCGTGTGTTTGATATTGTTTGGACATACCTGAAGGATTTGTGTTTGATATAATAACATTTTTTTGCAATTCGGCAAAATGTACTTAAAACATTATATTTGTAGTATTTTACTAGTTTTATGTAATTTTATATGTGTAGATTCTTATATTAATGGAATAACTCAGCATAATATACAATCGGTAAGGAATTTGGCCAATATATTTTATGATATTATAAACGTGGCATTAGTAGCGATGAATGCGTTGGCGACATTTAGAAATAGATATTCTTTTATGTCTAAAAAGGAACTGGATACTCTATTGTTGTGGGTGTTGCTAACGAGGCAGAACATTTTTCTTTTTGCCTTTCTGCAACTGAGTTGTCTAAATAATATAATTATAACTAAATTTTGAAACGTTTATTATACAACGAATGTACACCAGACGAGATTTTTCTTTTATTTTGTTCTTCTTTATTACGATATATTATGTGTTACATATTACTTAATATTTGATTCTCATTTCCAGTATATAGATTCAAAGAAATTCCTTATAGTATTCATCAATTCAGCTTGTAAGGATTAATTCATTTTTTATATTGAGTTATCTCCCTTAATAATTTTAAAACGTTTATAAGTTTCACAGCAATGTGAATAGCACTGCTCTGTTTATGATGGAAGGATTTGCTACCGTGTCCACTTTTAAAATTTTAGCCCAGTTTCATATGCAAAAGAGACAATGGCTATCAAAGAACCTCCACCACTTCGGGCAGCAACGGAAAACTGATAAAATTGAGCACATGTTTTTCACCTAGCAAAAACAGTGCCAATAACACCTGATCAGGGTATAAGATTCCCACTTCAATATGCTCGAAGATCGATATAGACATTTGAACGTTAAATATATCACACACAAAATTTTTTACCAATTCTATTTTAGCCTGTACAAGATGTAAAAATATCTACAAGAATTTTGTCTCAGCGTCGATGCCTTTCCATGGTGATAGAGAAATATTCTTCGGTAAAACAACCGATATGAAACTAATTAAAAAATGGAATATAGAAGAATTACCAGCTATTGTGTATTTTCCTATGGGTTTGAGTGAACCTCAAAGGTAACAGTCTTCAATGTTTATAAATTTCTGTGTAATAACAGTTAGCCGACAATATCATCCTGATCGAGACTGTCGACTTAGCACCATTTTGCGTAAACAATGATTGTTATCAGTTTGGATCACGATTTAGAGAGATTGTAAAGAAGATTTCCAAATCATTTATGTGTATAATTTTTTTTTATTATTTGTTGTTTCATTCCAATATCCAGACAGAAACCCCCTACAACCGCTTTGTATCATAGGTGATATCCATACACCTTGCGTTTAAATAGATTGCTCATTCCTGATCATTGACATATACCATCCACAAATTATTACAGATTTGAAGGAGAATATACAGTAGATAATATTATTGATACAATATCCTATGTAATGAGTGGTGATTTCCGTGGTTTAGAGAGAGCATACTATGTAGAAGTTAATGAAGAGAATTTTGAAGAACTAATTGAGAAACCTCAACAACATGCTATGGTTCTTATATATGATCAGTGTAAGGACATATACATTTCTATATTATATCTCTGTTTTCACCAGCAAATTTCTGACTTCAATTTGAACCCCGATATTGTAATTCTTATTGAAACGACCTTATAGGGATGTGTATTTGGCACAGCTTATAAAGGGGAAATAACTCTTTAAGTGGGACTATCTAAGAGATGGAAGTAATCTCAAATAATGAATTGAATGTATACCACACTTGTACAATTGAACCTAAGAGTACATATTTCATTATTGAATCTACGAAATTAACTCTGTAGCCTTGAGATATTTGACAAGGCCTATAAAGGGGAAGTAACTCTTAAAGTGACTAGTAACACAAAATGAGCACTATGCAATGTACTTTGAATTTCGTATTTGTTAGCTGTAAAATGCAATATCTACCTCTAAATGCTCATTTATGCTCCATTATGTTTTCTTGTAGTTCATGAAGAACAGAAAGGAACAATGAAAGAATTAGCAAAACTCTTCAGAGAAGAAGACGATGTAAGTGCTTTTCATGATTTTAGCCATTCGAACTAGTTTGAAATTATTTGTACCTCAAGTTCTAGGAGAACAATGCAGCGACCGAGCAAGGCAAGAATTTTTATTAGTGTTATCAAATATGTTTTTTTTTTATTTTCAGTTGGTTATTGCTGTTTTGGATGCTGATAAAAACAAAGCATTTAGAGACAAAAAGTAAGTCCTTATCAAAGCTTTACTTTTATTACCAATTTTCAAACAAATAGTTTTATAAAACTTTTCTGATCCTTTTGAAGCAAAGATGAAAGGGTTCCAATAACAATCGCAATGTTTTAGAAAGCCAAAATTTACCATTGATTTATAACTGGGTCAGTTGACTAAGAATAATTGTTGGCTTAAATATGTTTTTAGATTTAATTTTCCTGGTGCACCGCTGTTGTACTGGTTTCCTATAGATAATAAATATAAGATAAAACGGGTAAGTTAGGCCAGGTTATTTCACTCATAGGATCACAATAAACATAGATGATGCACAAATCTTCGTCAAGGGCATTGGGTGGTCGAGTTCGATTGCCCTCCTTAGATTTTAAATAATCCGACTAAATTTAGCGAGAGATCAAATCCTCCCAGATGCCATTAGTTTCTGGTAGTTTAGCTTCCCCAACATACGCATATACTCTGGAGAACGTCTTGTATATTCATTAACAATAGATGATTTTATTATATAGTTTGGTGGAGATCTAACATTTGAAGTTTTGTATAGTTACATCAATGAACAGACGCATACCTGGAGAAACAAAGATGGTACACTACTACCAAAGGTTGGTACATAATAATCAGACTTTTGTTTTAAATTGATCTTCATAATTAAATCTAAATCTAAGTGGCTGTGGTTCTATCTTTAATTAAAATACATATGCCTGCCTTTTCGAGAATCGAATATTGAACTTCAGTTCCATGTAGGCTACTGCGGAAATATTTTTAACTTGCTCCCTGTTCAATGTCAGTTTCCGCAAAGACATTGCTTATTTATCGACCATAATTGTATAGTACAGACTACCAGCGACTGGACTTTGTTCATAATGTATCTTTGATAATTCAGGCTGGTCGATTTGATGATCTAGATAAGATAATATCACAGAATGTTGGTGGTGTTATTAGAGCTGATCAAGAGGTCATGGTCAGTACACTTTTTCACATCATCATTTCAAATATGGAACATAATAAAGATTTGATTTTGCGATATTTAAACGATGCTGTTTTCAATTTTTATAATTCACGCATACATTGATCCCGTCTTCATATCGGCTACGATTGTTCATATTTGTGAAGCTCTGCAACATGATGCGAAAGAGAGTTACAACTTGATGCATAAAGCTAATTGCTTTTCAATTAATTGCGATTTCATTCAAATATACTTGATTAAGATTCAGATATATCTGTTATCATGTGGTGCAAATTTCCAACATGGAAAATACCATAAAAATGAATATTATGTTGTTTTAATAGGATAGTGTTATTGAAGAAGTAGGCAAAGTAGTTGACAAATTGGACTCTAACCAACAAGAGTAAGTTCATGTGATACATTTGTATATATATATAAAACACTAAACTGCGATGTTATTTATCACCAACCAATCATGGTAGATCAGGAAACAAGTAGTCGACCCTGGACCATCCATCTGAGATGTATGAGGCCAATTGTGTGACAATTCTACTTTTCTATCATTACGAATGTATTCGATACGCGTTTGATCCTCGTCTTGCCATAGCCAACATAGCATGATATCCGTCTATATAAGGAGACTCGATCGTCGAAGAAAAGGAAACTAAATTGTGACAATGACTAAAATCACTCACAAGCCACTTTCATTTGTACCACATGAAATTTTGAATTTTCAGATTTGGTAAATTTTACATCTACTTAATGCAACAAATAAAAACAACTGGAAATACTAAATTTATAAGAAATGAAACTGATGTCATCTTTAAAGAACTACAAGATTTAGGTAAGGATTGTTAATGCATTCTACAATATACATACATAGCAACGAAAGGCAGAGATTTATAGGATAACTTTCTTGAGAACCAGGCCACGTATTCTCGAATCGATCTAAGCGCTAAAGGATGTCTTAGAAACAGTGTCAGATGTTAAGACCCTAGGACATCCTAGCTCTAAAATCGTAGTTTAGTGATGTTGGATGCTTAAGGGGTTATGGGAACAAACATGCCTTATATAGCGGTATAACCAACCAAAAGCTAGCAATACACACGTTTGACTTTTAACACTTTATGGTTTGAGATCTGTGGGTATAGCTTAGTAAATTTCTCTTGATTTCCATGCCATTCAGATCTTAATGTAGCTACATTCATTACAGATAACACTTCTTCGTTAAGTTATATTGTGGCTGAGGCCAGTTTCCAGTCACAAACAAGCATTACTAAATTCACCTTTTATTCATTTCAGATTTAATGAGCAAGAAGCGAGATAATTTGATTAAAAGGCATCACATCTTAGACTTTCTGGTCAAAGAATTCGGGGACTATATCACTAAAAACCCTATGTATATGGAAGAGGTCAAGAAGGACAGTCAGAGGAAAGTTAAAGCCGATTCTCACAGTCATGATGAACTATAATTATACTTCCTCCTAGTCTTAGTAGCCTATATTCATTTTAATAGAAACAATTTTATGTATGCAATTGGTCGTTTTGCTTTACAACTGGGGGCATTATTCTCTAAACTTAGCTGAAGATGATTTGTGTGTTTTAGTCATCTAATTGGTCAATCATTAACATCGATTGCAAATTTAATTTTATCAACCAATCAGACAACCATTTATAAAAGCTTGGTTTATCTGGGTTAAGCTTTTAGGGATAAAGGATGTCCATTTCAGATTGTGACTAAACCTTACATGCTGCAAAAAGGCACAGCCCAACACATATTCTAATTTATATCCAAGAATTTGTAGTAAAATTAAACCCTACACAGTGTGGTTCAATTAAATTTGGGAAGGTTTTTTTGACTACAGATCGAACAGTTTTGTCGGTCTTGCAATAGTGACACTGTAAATGAACATTAGATATAAGATCTGAAAGACGGTCATCGTCTCTCAGGACTTGAATGCCAATCAAACAAGATTGAAATACAATTGCATTGAGCACTATTGGATCATGGTTTCACAGATTGACACTGTCGTCCTACTAGAAATATATCAGGTGGGAAGCCTGACTTCGGTATACAAATATTATAATGGATTAATTTTATTTGAATAATACATTAACAACAGATTTTCTCTAATGAAAATATATTAAATTATATAAATAATTTGTTGGAAAACAATTTATTCAGATAAACATTCATATCCTTCATCTTCTCTTTCATTCAATATCAATAATCAAACCATTCATTTTCCCTCGCGGTTACAGGTTTACCAACATCAAATTTTCCTGGCCACAGCAAATCCCAAAGTAATCGTGGTTCCTTTTTTATCACATATTTGTTAAAGTAAACAATTCAACTTGCTCGAAAACAAAAAAGGAATAACTTGAGTTGTTATGTACAGTAAAAGACAATAAATTTGAATAAATAAACAACAAACACATAATACTGATAAAGGTTAGAAGTAATAAGAGGGATTATCGCCAGGCTTCAGTTGATATATTTCTGTTATACTGTGGATGTGTGTCCCGGTATCTAGCACTGGAAATAACAAAATAATACACATTTTAGATATATGTATCAACATTTGTATATACATGTATCAACTATTAGATATATACATGTATCAACTTTTAGATATAGCCTAGTATCTATAACAAACCATTGTTTACCAGCATTGCATGTTTATTGGGGATGCTTGTAGTTACTATTTTACCAGCATTTGCATGTTTATTGGGTAGCATGTAAAACACTAAAGTGACTATAGAAAGAAAGATGAGTAAAATATTCATTAAACTTCTCAACATGGGTTTTTTCTGTCACAATATATATTGTAGCCTACTTACAAGACATTGGCAGGCATTGGTTTCTGTCCATACTGATCTATCATTGGTTCTTGACGTAAGCTATACTGAAATAGTAAAAAAAAAAGTTTTGGGGATGATCCAGAATGGCCAGCAAGAGGTTTTGACACTGGTGAAAATTCTTCTCGGATGCACAGAATAAGGAGTTAACATATTAAATGTTCAATACGAGTTACGTCCCTTGTTATGCAATAGAGATTTGTTATTTATATCTCGATTAATTTCTCATACAGAGTTGTCGATCCTTGCAGTCCCTTTCAAACAAGGACCGACAACTCTGTATGAGAGATTGTATAGTCTTCTGAATCGATTTATAAATAACAAATCTCTATTGCATAACAGGGGACGTAACTCGTACTGGAAATCTAATTTATTTAATTAAGAAAAAGGTCAACATAATTTCACAATTTACAAGCAATCTGCTGTTGCTTTAATAATATAGTATGAATTATATAATTAATACTCACACGCCATGATTTAGAAATATCTGGACGAGAATAGCGAACATTATAACCAGAAAAATGTAAATCTGAAACAAAACAGAAAGAGTTATTACCTGTGTGCCATTTCAAATATCTATTTCAGAATTTATTCCTAATGTCCCAGGGTTGCACCCCACCCCATTCCGTACATACCTTTATTAGCAGGTACAGAGGGCAATTGTTGAATATTGTATCTTTCTGGACATCGATTTAAAAAATTTGACCATTCTGCTTTAGTTTTCCTAAAAAAAATAAAAGAAATAAGTGCTTGTTACTTTATGTTTGTCATGAACATAACAAATTGGTAAACTTGGTAGTTCATCTTTATTTTAGTTGAAAAAAAACAAGACTTACTTCAGCTCTTCTGGGGTTGTATAATATCTGTGCATTTGGCGACCAGTTTCTGTAATATTCTACAAGAAGATAAAAGAACGGGGCTTTAAACTCTGAAAATCAAACTCAGAGCAATAAAACATCTCTTGTTAGTTTATACTAGTATAACGCATGCAAGTATAACCATGGAGACATCCACTGTGATAAAAAGTAGAACGCGAGCAATTGACGACAACTGGTGGTGTCCAAGCTGTCAGTTGCTAGCAGTCGTTTAAATTCAGTTGCTCTCAGATTCAAACGAGAAAAACCGTTATTGGATAAATGTTGGCGAAAAGTGAACAATTGGTAAGCAAAGGATGTACCCTATCCAAGCAATATGAAAACCTTAAATGTCATCTTCCATTTTGAAACTTTTAAGCAAAGTCTACTTACTATGCTTGACAGACGTTTCGGTGGTGGAGCAAATATGGTCGTTGTAGCTCTTGAGAAATCGTCTACAAAAGTAATTCATAAACTTGTATCATTTATTAATTATAAATTGTTTACGTGTTGTACAAGATTAATCTATCAGATCAGATAACATTCAATTATTTAATTGGTTCACAAGGACCATCTGCCATAAACTCTGTCAAATTGAATCAATCAATGGAGCATACTAAACAAAAAAAAAAGTTGCAGACAATTCTGCTTTCCAGAATTTGAACGTTGGGCATAAAGAAACATTGAACAGATTGACATACTACAATTTTGACATCCGTTAGATCTATGGACATATTCGCCCTTCAACATGCAGGGTTCATTTGGTGGATTCTGGACGTAATGCTTAATAATAATACTATAGTACCTGATTCGTTACGACTTACCTGGACCACAAGATGTGGTTGTACGACAATGTTCATCGGGTAATTTGTTCCCTGCAGTGTCCATATCCATTCTTCTGAACGTTGGTAAATTAGGATGATACAGACCATCTTTCACTGCAGCTAACTGAACTCTTCGGAATGAAGGATATTGGTAAGAATAACTAGGAATTTCTTTAGGGTAAATTCTACCCTTTTCGACATGCTTGACTCCAATAGTTGTCATATTCGTAATATTATAGACAAGCGTTTGAAAACTTTCAAGTACAAACGTATGTCAAGTAGACTTTTTATAACAATTATATATTTTACCTATCAGGTATACCACAGCACGAGACTAAAATCACGTTGCTTAGATACCCTCAACAATAAAATGGCGTCATAGTAGGTCCATAAAGTTGGTTACATCCCCAATGTTTGTCCCACACACGTTGTGTAATCCCCTATAGTAGATTATATTACTTGATCATGTTAATCTCGTAATCGTAAATATATTATACCTGAGTGTAGTATAACTGTACTGTTATCAATAATCAAAAACAACTCAGGGTCAGTGTACATTATTGGGCAAAGGGATCGGATATATGCTTTATCTTTTTTAAAAACATTTAATAGAGATAGATCTAATCCTTTCAGGTATATTTATTCAAATAAAATGAAAAAGAAAATTTTGGTTGAAACATCGGTTCAGCACTCTCACTCACCGCAACCCATTTTGCCTATCAATAGACGCAACGAAGTTCTGCATTCCCATTAATGAAAAAGTTGAAAAGATGACGTCATACCTTTTCTGGAATAACAGGAACTACAGAGGTCGAATGAATGTTAAAAAAAACTTCTTAATAAAAGAAAACCCCCCCTTTAAAGATAGATGCCCACATCCAAAATCTGGTGGATATATTGCAGGGAATGAAAAAAGAAGTGGATTTGAAAATCTCTTTCACCTCTGGCCCAATTATATCGTTTGAATCCGTAATCTTCTGCAATGGCCAATAGATATCAAGGCCGGACATGCTCAAACTTCAGGAACATCTCGTGTCTATGCAATTGAGTTTGTTAAATCGACACAGCTTTTGAAGAGTGTATATAACTAATAATATTACTTCGGGTAAACGAACAAAAGTGATATACTTTATTGTAACTTTTAAATAATGAGATATTTCTGACATACAATATCTAGCACAACGTGTACCTTGTTTTATCATAAATCTTTACTTTGCGACCTAGGCCAGTGCTTTGATGTTCTCATCACCATCTGACACAAAAGAAAAATGAATGAAAATTCAACTGAAATAATTTTATACAAACTTTGAAATTTGAATAACATATTAAATTATTTTTACAATGTGATAAAGATATATTATTGATTACACAATTTTATATTTTTGGCACTAATAGAGGTTATGTAGAAAGGTAAATCCCTGAGTTACAAATTGTAAAGAATCCCAGTGACTCTGATATTGTCCATTTGGGATGAATATATTGTACACTATCATTTAACATTCCTGTGCTAGTGTTGCAGGCTCTGGTTCAACTTGCTTTTATGACAAGTTTCTATGGTGTCTATTATCAGTAGTTTGACAAATCTCGTGGGTTTTTGTTAGAAATAGCTCAACTATTAAATGTGATCACCGGAACCTGCTTCAGAATCTTCATCTTCATATTGTGACGTCATATCCTGCTCTTCCAAACTAGTGGTATCAATGTCAGTAGTGTTCTTATCACCTTCGTCTGTTTCCGGGTCAATTTGGTATTGGGACAATTCCTCTGTTTGAAACAAGGTGTGACCTGTGATCTCATACGTTTTCAAAACTTCTTCATGGAGTGCTTTGTCTAAAAATTTAAAGTTCATATCAAAGATTAAATCAAATTTGAAAGCAAATACCACGCAATTGTAAATGCGGAAACAAAAGGCTGTAAAGCGATATTGGAAATTTAACAGATCTCTTGTGTATGCCCCGGCATATCTAAGGCAAATATTACGAGCTGAATGGAAAAATTATTTCATAAAACTTACTTTCTCTGTATTTGACAGCATAAGTTGCGTAACCAAGTACAGATTCCCATTGGTTCACACTTACACTCTTATTTCCCGACCAATCACCTTGAAGTATGCTTAATGGCTTCCCAGACGACAAGATAATTCCGCCATTGGCTATCCTAAAACATAAGTGGAAAATTTACAGTGTTTTATACTTGGTTTTAATAAAGATATTAATGGGTTAGATCTTTGAATCATTTTTAATTTGATTTCAGATATCAGTATCCTGTTTTAGAATGACAAGCCCAGCTTGTTTTCAGAGTCAAACTTATAATTTATAAAATTGTTATTGACAACTGAATAAGAATATTGTATTAAAAAAAACTTCTGTTAACTAAAGGAACTGACGTAAGTTTAATTGGTATTGATTTTTGTTTTGTGGCATTATCAAACGCTATCAGGATCGTATCAGTGAGCACAATATCATTCTCGCAGTTTTCTAAGAATTTTTCCACACACTTTGGGTTGAGTTACCTTAAAGGTCTTGTTATTTTGATGATTTTATTGGATAATACTTTAAGAGAAGTTGCTGTGATTCCTGGTTTTAACTTGATACAACTTAAAGTAAAATATGTGGAATCTGAAGAAAGAAAATGTTAATGGAAGCCGTTTAATTTTAATATCAGATACATCTAACCCTTGTCTTGACCCTTCAGAATACAATTCGACGTTCGGTTTGTTTAATGGAATAGAAATTTACTGCTTCTTGGATTGGCAATATTCTAAGCTTCCATGTCATTATTAACATTGTATCATGAAAATATCATGACTCTCTTACTAAAACATGAACTGAATGTCCAGCAGCAGAAAACAAACTTAATGTTCAGCAAAGTATGTAATCAATCTCAAACATGGTACAACGTCAAACGTCATAAAGGGATGTAACTCTGTTATATTCACTCCGACGGGTAAGCCGGCAATCCCTTCAAACCGGCATTTCACGGTGGTCCGAGGGCCTGCCGGTTTAGATGGGTTTCACTGTATAGACTAAATTGAGTCTGATGACAAACCTACCTTCGTTATGAGCTTCCTTCATTTTGCTTACTAAAGCGTCACATGTTTCCGCCCACTTAGCACCAGTTGGAAGAACAGAATTTTTGAACCAATCAGAAGCTTTTTCTACCGTTGGAAATATAAATACAGCAATGCAGGTATGGTTCGGCCAAGCCCCAGCTTTAGATATTGGCTGAAATTTAACACTTTGAATTAAACATAATATCATTTAGTCGGTTGCCTCTGACTCATTTTATCAGTCGTAATATACTCGTGTGTTATAGTCAAGATATTATGCCTTTATGATTGAGGTTTCACATGCAACCAATCAACCAACCAATTCGTTGTGATGAGGATTGGTCAACGTTGTTTCTAATCATTGATCAGATATAGGCAGCGTCATGCAGATATTCTGGTTCTTCTTGTTATCAGAAGAACATAACAGAAAGCCTGAGGAAATGTTTTCACCCGATGACAAATACCTTGATACTACTGGTTGTAACTGACTGATCATCCATGCAAATAAAACATTGGCTGCTCTTGGGATGCAGAAGTTACATGTACATGTATATAAATTAACATTATTAACCTGTGTTGCGAAAGCGAAAATTTCTCCATTATGTTCCAGTAGCTGTTTTCTATAATTCACTACAAATGATCTGAATTCATGTAAATGGTCATCTGAAAATCTGGCGAGTAACAGAACTTCCGTTGACTTGGGTAACTCCATCTAAAACGGAAAAAATCTTGAAATGTCTGAAACTTACGTAGCAAGTCTTGTGCTTTAAGAGCACTTTTCACACAACTCTTTTTAGTTTTGGACGTGGATATCTTTAAATATCAAGCAAGTTCATTACTGAATGAATGCAAACAGATTGATAGTTATACATTCAAATCCAATGAAATTATTGACTCTGAAGCTCCTTCGCAAAACAAAGTGTGACGTATGTCCGGGGCAAGTAAACTCTCTTTTCAGTAACGGTGGGTCTTGACAAATTGTTTCCATTACAGAGCCCAACTTTTATAGCTATTTGGAAATTTGCATATTAACTACTTACGGTGCTGGTGGTTTCTGGTTTAGCAGATGAACTGTCTAATGCTATCACATCCTCATAAGCTGGGGGAGCAGTAGGATTAAGAGATGTTGGTGTATAGGCTGGTAGCACGGGGGCATTTAAACCAGCTTCCACAGCCTTGCTGACTCCTGCTGCGGGTTGTTTAAATACAGGTCTTGGGGCAGGTTTCGCCACAGAACTCCTGGAATTAGTGGCACCAGATACCACGGGTCGATATTGATAATTTGGCACGTAAGTACACAGTGGAATATATCCGGAACCTATATTAACAAAATTTCCGTCCGTTCTCCTACATTTAATTATTCCTTTGTTACATTTGGTATATGTAATAGCTGATGATGCATCGACTTCTGAAAGTAGAACCACAATAGCATTGATATACTGTCTCTAAATATACAAAACTTAGTAGTCTCAGGCTAGTACGCTATATCTCCAAGTCTGGGAAATTACAGGAACCATAAAACTATTAATGGATTAAGCTATCATCGTACCGAATACCCATACAAAAATGAGTTAATCTTTTTTTGAGAAGTAGGAAGTAGGTTACAGTCAGAACTTACCAAATGAATTGGAAGCTGCAACTGGTGCTGAAGCAGCAGGATGTTTGTAAGGAACGGTGCCAATAGTAATATTCAAGATGACGGATAGATCGATTCCCCATGGAACTTCCACAAATACCTGTAAGTAAGGAATGCAAAATTTAAACCGTTATATTTAAGTACATGTAGTCGACAATATCAAATTTCCAGAATGATTCATGGTTGGAAACTTGGAGGCAAAAATTGCCGAACCATAACAGCCAAATTACAAATACGATGTCCCGGTTTCGAAAAAGGGATTGGAAATAGCGACCTACACATACCCTCAGTGGGAGAGTCTGTTGAATGGTATGCAAGGGACTTGAAGATAAATCACTTACCTTTACATAGTAAGACACTTTAATGATGTGGCAACTTCCTTCAACGGTTGATGGTGGCACAGCATCTATTTCTAATAACTCCTTTTCCCATTTCTTTTCTGTTTCTTTAGCTAAAGGATCAGTGCCTTGAATGGTAGCGAGAACTGTTCGTTCATATTTCTCTTCTCCATTAGCCAAAAAATATGCTGTTTGCATCAACGAAGCTTTCACCCTTCCCATATCCTTTGTTGTATCATTCTTTGCCAAAACTGAAAAGTAAAACTTCATCATCAAACAAGTCATTTGGTCAAAGACACTCAGTATGAATAAGGCAATTTCAAATTCTATCATGAACACACTCAAAGGCAAAATAATCATAGCTCGAACATCGGTAAACATGTTTTGAAAGTCAGCAACGGCAGTCCAAACCTCAGTCCTCGGAGGCAATATACACATTTTCCGTTTTTTCGGTGTTTGCAAATATGATGGATTTGGTCATTATTATTGACGATTCCAGGGCCTAATCTTGATTGATTCACTTATCTTAAAAACTTTAAAAAAATCATTAAAAACTTCGAGTCTTACTTGTCAGAGCTATCTTTTCACCAGCGCAGTAACCACTTCTGTCACATTCTGCACTCAAACTCAGTGTTCCAGCATTACCAAATCCTAAAGCCTTTGATACAACTTTCTCGCTTTTTCTTTGTATTTTTCTCTGTGAAGAATAAAAAAAAAACATAATCAAAGACATACAGCCTTGTAGTATCGGCATTAGATGCTTTAACAACTCAGAGGATTGGGGACACCTGACAGAGTTCAGAGCTCTTTGTGATTAATATCGTCAGCTCATCACTTAAGTCAGTGAGGTAGAGATATTCAATCTGTAATCATCAGTCCAAACAACGGCAGAAAACTTTATTTCACCACCGTTTAACCTTGCTCAGAAATTCGGCTTGTGTTTGTGGTAAAGGTAACACTGAAATAAACAGTTGCTTTGAGTTCTAAAACAGGAGTTTTACGTCCGAAGTACCTTCAGAGCAGTCGTATTTATATCAATGTTATGTAGAACTGTGAAGGCTCGATACCAAGATCTATTAAGATTAAACATTGGTCTGTCTACTAAAACCTTTAACCAATATCGTACAGCACCGTATTCCCCTTCAAAGGATGATGGTAGAACCCGGTCTGGAAGCTTAAACGTGAATCTATATGTTTGTTTTCCCTTTACTAAGGTCACTGGAGGGTTATTTGTACCGGCTGAAAAGAAAATATAGAAAAATGCATACTGTTGATAGTTATGACTAACGGACAATACATCTTGAAAGGTGTTGGAACAAAAATCTAATACTTGTACTACAAGACTCTGAACTGTAGGGAAAGACACAGTCATTTGTGATAAACAGCACTCGAACAGGTTCTTTATCTCCCATGCTTGATATAAACTAAGAAACTATCACCACTGGAGGCAGATATTATATTGTTAAGCATTGCAGCAAATATTAAGGATTACGCAGTGATCAAAATTCAATCAATAATCAATATTAGCTTAGGTTCTCATACATTGGTACATTCTTACCTTTATTTCCAAACAATGTCACATAATGCCCAACATATTTCTCCCGACCAATGTTTTCGCGATTGCTCCGATCTAGAAATATATCCCATTTAGTTAAAGCTTCACCATACAGATATACCCTAACAGCTTTAATTTGAATATTTTCTTCCACGTTCAGAGTTACTCTTCCTTTAACATATTCCGAGCGTCTGTATACATTTTTATCTCCATCTAAATTCACAAAGCATTGGCTAATACTCTTCACCATTTTTTCTTCTTTTTTTCTAGAAAATAAATAAACTTAAAACTCCTAGCAATAACAAATCTATTCTATCTACCAGAATGATCTCAAGAATGTAATAAATGGTCAATATACTGCTTTTCCAATAAGTAAAGTTCTTTAATAATTGCTTAAAGATTGGGATATCTCTTACGCGCTATAGGTTCCAAACTTATGGTACTATAGTAACCACTGGCGTACTGTCAAAGCCTTCATGGGGTACCTGAAAAGCCCTCCTGTGCCAACCATTAACAGACCTTTTCATTTCTTCATTTTGCTTATAGAAGATCAAAGAAAACAATGAGATAAGTAGAACAATTGAAAGTTTTTGTAATCCATAGTTAATGCAGCCAACGAGTGATCTCAAGAATGTGATGATAAATTTTGACGATATCTAATAAGTTAAATTGGGATATCTTTTCAGAGCTCCTGTAGCAAACTTTGGATAGTAGTAGGTGTATCCCTTGTAACCATGCTGAAACCCTGTGCAGTCTGACAACTATGAATGGAACTATTGCAGAAGGAGTACCATGAGATAGCAAGAGCAAATCCAAAGCTATAGTGCAACCCACGATATTGGGTTATATTATTTTCAATACTAGTAGGCCTAAAATGTTTGGTGTGCCTAGTATTGACTGTCTCAATATCTACTATTAAATAAAATAAAAGTTTTGAGACATAAATCTGAAGTCTAGATTAACAGTATCCCACAATAGTTAGTTTTATACTTTAAATAACAAATTTATAATAATGTTTCTGTCTCTTTAATTTAAGCTATGATGCAAACAATGCTTACCTTTGTTTACTGTATCGTAAAAAAATAAGTATATTTGTTTGCTCAAATTTGTTTCTTATATATATTCAAATATCAAGTTATCATGGGGGTGTGATGAAAACATGTGACTATAGATAAGGTATGATCATTATAGTGACAATGTGACGATGTAACAGAGTGATATTGTACGATTGCTTAATGCTTTTAAAATTAACTTCTGGGATTTTTTCTATTGTTGTGAAATCTAAACTCTGACATTTTGGGTGAAATTCCATAAGGCAATTGGTTAAATGGACTCGTAGAGTATTGGGCCAGAGCTTGGTTGTTCAGGGGGGTTGGTAAGATATCTGGAAGGGCAATGGGGTATAGTACTGTCATTTTGGGTGAAATTAATTAATTAGTTAAAGGGATTCTGAAGAGGCTTTCTAAAGGTACCAGATCAGGTCGCAAAACATTTTATTTGAATTGATCAAATTCTTGTATTGCTTAATACTCTTAAAGATAAACTTCTAATTTTAGCTCTTTGTGCAACTGGGTGAAATTCCAAAAGTTTATAGCTTCTGTTTCATGCCTCATTCTGATGTCCGGTTCCGATAATTCTTTAATACCTTAATATCTAAAAATAGTTTAGACAGTCAAAACTTGTTTTTCTGTAATTTGAAGACGTTCTTTCTTTAAAGAAATCAGATTATCAATGTGGTGGATCTAATAGAACACATTTTACGGTATATAACTCCTGTGTATTATTGTTCACTACGTTTAGTTTAATAGATGATGGCGATGTAAATTGTTGAAACGCTGCGTACAGTAAAACCTAGGAGTAGTATACCAAAAAATTCTGCTCCAATTATTCATGTGATCTCATTAAATGTTGCTCAAGGATTGTAATATCATTAACAGGATGAAAGAATTTACATCAATTTGTTCATAGTTGTTTTATTTATGGTAAAAGCTTCATGGTACACATAATGACTGAGTTTATGACCGGAATGCTTATAACATTGATTTTAATGGTGATTAATACAGGTTACATGTTGGACAATTGATAGAAGATGGAATGTAAGACAAATATAAAACTTAAAATGATTATGATAAGAGTTACAGGTGGGCAGTATCATGTGCGTGACATTTTTACAATTAGTAACCAAGAGGCCAGACTCCAAAAACGTCACATAATTTTAGGGTTCCAGTTATTTGATTGGTCAGTGACTAAAATGGATTTCAAATTTAGTTTAATTAACCAATCAAATAACTGTATTTCTCAAAATCTTGACTTTATCTTAGTTAAACTTTCCAGAAAATTTGATGGTCAGTGTTGGTCATAAAATTTTTCAAATCATGATGTTTCTGACAAATTTTCACTACTAATAATTCCCTTTCAAATTTGACACATTATAGCAAAATTACAATTTCACAGAATTTACAAAAATAATTTACTTGTATATTGGTAAAAACAGTGCAAAAATATATTTTACATTGTTCTTATTACAATTAAAATCTTGTAAAATATTCAATAGAATTATTACATTCATCTAACACCCTTGGCCTATAAAGATTGATTCTCCAACAAGACACTGGTAAATATGAAATGCGGTTGCCTACTAAGACATTTCTTTCATACAGCTATCTCTCAATCACACATAATAAAATAAATTATCAACTGTCAAATAAGTAATCAATGTTAATTTTCAAACTTGTTATTTATTGATGTTAAAGGCATAAAGTGTATACAGACTAGTAAAATACATTTAAAAAAAATGTCAAAATAATTCTGGAATTTTATCTTGGTACATACCAATTTCAAAATTTTGTAATATATCCACATTTTATATCAAAAAAAGTCATATTGTTCTATTTGACACAAAAAGAAATTTACAAGTCTTGGAGTAAACTAATCAATTATTTTATTCCAATTTTGATTTTTTTTTTTGTGAGAAAACATATCAAAGTTTATTTAATGTTTTTTCTTCACAAAAATAAAGTTTAAATTACAAAAATAACTTGACATTTGACATTATCAAAACTAAAATCTTGATCAAAGAAGTCCAATTTTGATTATTTTTTCAGATAGCATCAAATATATCACAAATATTTCAACAACACTGCTTTTTACAAAAAATGCTTACAAACAGGCCAGAATCTGAAGTGTTAGTTGTATATCGGTCAAAGCAATGTTCATACTTATAAAGAAAAATGATTCTCTTGCATACAGTGAAACAGGCATTCACAAAGTGATTCTCAAACTAAAACTAACATGAATTATCTTTATACAAGTAAATATATACTTATCTTGATATATTTTATTTGACATAAAAATATAGTGATATGTATATATTGTTCACAACCGTTCTATGAGGACATATTTCAATAGATTTCTCAAGAAAATAAATGTTAACTGTACACATTTAAAGTGATAAAAAATGGCACGGACAATTTATGATGAAAAGAAACTAACCTAATATATAAATGTATAGATTTAAACATAGACTTCAAACATTTTTCAGATTAAATGCTATTTAATCCATGATATTGATGGTAAAAAATAACAGCAAAGACTTTCTTAGAGTTATCTCCCTTTATTGTAACAGTTATCTCCCATTAATAATTATGTAATAATTATTATTAACCCAATATTAAGCCAAGGTATTTGTGTAGATCTGGTAATTCAAAGCATAAACAACAAGTGGTTTCCTGTATTTTAAATTCTTTCAAGAAATGATGACCAAAAAGCTATCCTAACTAGTATAGTTTCAATTACTAATCATTTTACCTAAAGAAGAAATGCATTTCTGCAGAAAATTGTAAATAATCACAGTCAGATTTCACAAATTTCCTTTTTGAGAGTCTGAATGTAGCCTTTCTGAACAAAACCACACACAACATATAAATGAGCCAATCTCATTATCTCGCTTGCTAGTAATATCCTATATATTTGAGATGCTTAAAAAACCATGATGACAGAATAATTAATCAAAAATAATATAAGAAAAAAAAATGCACAGCATTCAAATCAGTTATTGCAAAAATAAATTGATATGAATATTTTAACATGAAACATATTTTTACTGGAGACATCACTTCTGATCAGGTTGGAAATTTCAATACAGATCTGAACGTTTTTTAATCCAGTTTATGAATTAACTGAAATTTGTCCAAAATCGACAAAAAAAATATCCAAAGTGGACAAGAGGTGATATTATTACTGACCATGGAAGAACAGATGAAAAAATAATACTAAGCGTAGAAAAAGCAAAGACAATAAAAGACTAAACTTAATACATGCATATAATTTATAAGAAAATGAAAATATATACAATTCTATTCTAAAGATAATAAAATATAATATAAAACTATTTACATTTCATTATAAACTTTAACTCACATGACTACTTTAAAAACATTTAATTCTCAATGTGATACATCAATACTTCAAATTTTGTACATTTTTCATACATTTTTAACGCTTTTTGAAAAAGAATTCATTTTAATGAATGGCAGATAAAAATGTCCAAATTGAAGATAGCAGTATCCACGATCTTTTAGAAACTTAAGTTACATTGGAAAGATTGGTATTCTGAGACATTTCTGTTGTTGCTTTTGAGTAATTTGCAAGGTGCAAAGTCTTAAAGAAATAAGTCAAAGTGCAAACTGTTTTTCAATTAGTCATTTCAGTAACGACAGCCGACAGTCTTTAAAGTGAAGCCACGAGAATCAAAGTTATAGTATAAATTCTTTATATTTGATATAATTTATAAATTGTATAATATGAATATAGAGAAATATATAAAGATATTAATGATATAAATCACTGACAAATAATCCCCTTGATTGAATATCATTCAAAAATTATAAATATTAAAACAGAACCTAAAACAAGTTTTATTATTTCTGTGTTGCTCTACAATTGGTGTATTGAGCACTTTATTAACAATGAAGCCAACGTGAAAAGACTATTACAGAGATATTATTTGCTTGCTGGTTAACAGAAAATAAAGACCAGAGCAATTCAGCATAGATTCTGAACGGACTGGATGATATTAACCTTAATACAGCAATATTCAGTATATCATAAAGTGATATCAGGTTATAATGAACACCACCCAGCCCAAGGACTCTTAAGCCAGTGTAAGTGACAAAGTGAGCATGATTTTAACAACATATTAATCTAATAAGGTGTTACATGAGTTGATATGAAACTTGAGCTATAAACAGTCTACCAAAGAACCAGTGATAAGTAAAAAAATAAATGCCAAATACTCACAAAGCAAAAACTACACCATAATGAAAAAAATCTAATAAAAACTATTCATCCAAAAAATTATTCTATAAAATTGGAATGTTCTCAGCCTAAGTTAAATTAGACCTTTTAAACTTGAGCCGATTTGGGCAACTTAAAAACTGGTTCGGCAAGAATCACTGTAAATCATCGATATAATTTGAAACTGAATACACAATAATTAATAACAAATATATATCACTGTAATAAAATTATTGTATTTTAACAGCAAAAAGACAATCTAATTCCATTTATATACAAAATAAAATCTTAAGGCACTTTATTCTTTACCTTGGCTTGAAATTCAATTTACAATTATGAATGTTTTGCAGCCTGAAATTCCAATTGAGCCCTTGGCAAATACTCATGGCAAGCAAATATGTTTTCAAGCTAATTTCATAATTGTAAATGTAAATAAATACCAGAATATTGAGCTGAATATAGGTTGTCTTTTTACAGTTTATCTAAAATAATGAGTTATATATTCTGGTCCACCATTGTTGTAGGGTACCTATTATATTGCTGTTATCATATGCCTCAAGTAAATATACTGACAACTTCTCCAAATATTCTACTGTCATAGCTGAATACATAATATACCATTCACTCAGATTATGTACAAATATAGGCCAGTATAGCTGAATTCCATTCCAAGCTGCAGCTAATATCTTAGATGATACCCTAGCTGTGTTTAGAATAAATGCTTCAAGCCAACTGCCTGAATAATTTGTAATGATCCAATTAAAAGCTTGTCTAATATAAATTTGACAATTATTATACCAAAATTTTGCAATAACCAACCAATAATCGTGGCAATACATATACCAATATTCAGTTATGATTATCCAGTATTTTTGTAGATAAGTTTTCCAGTAAATATCTACCATATCCAAGACATTGTCTTCAACTGTAATAAATATCTTGTTTAAAAATGGCCACCAGTGCCGTAAAGTTACAAAAATCAAAACAAGTAAAAGGACTATTCCAACAAAGGCTGCAAATTGCTATAATGTTACGACTGCACTGTCTTTATCACTCTTATCAGTCTTTAATAAATGATCATGAATCTCATCTTCATCATCCTGATCAGCTACAGTATCACTATCAAATGATTTGGAAGAGCGTTGTGAATTTTGAGAAGCTTGTGACATCTGGGAATGGCGCCCTGTGGCACCACGTTGAGGTGCCAAGGTGAGTCTTTGATTCACTGGTTTCACTGTTATAATCAGGTTGGCGCTATTTGCCACCATCATGTCCGTCACTTGATCTAGCGTTTTACCAGAAACTTCTATACCATTCACTTCTAAAACTTCATCATTCACAGCTAATAACCCGGTACTCTCGGCTAACCCACCCGGTACCAACCGTGATATAAATATACCGGGTACTTTCTCTAACCCTTCCGAAGTCATTCTCATACTAGTTCCATCACGAATATAAAACCCTAATGGTTTATCAGAACCATTTTTCATGAGTTTCACTCTACGTAATGTATCTGGTATAATATCAACATCAATAATAGCCGAAACACGACGGAAATCTTCCGGTAAACTAATCTTTATCCTAGGTTTGACAGGTGTTTCACTACTTATTAATTTAGTTATAGGATTCTTCTTCTTTAATGTACTAGAGCCATACCCATTCAACTCAAACTCACTTTCACCTGAAATGAAGGACAAATAACTTTAGGTAATTGACAACAATAGCATTATCTGACATATATATAGATAAAATCTGTATCAGGGAACCTGGATTTGGAAATTTATAAGAATTAAGAAAGAGACAAATTTTCGCATTACTAATTTTCATGTTTAAAAACCATGGCCAAAATCATGTTTGTACACTTTAATACATTCCATCAGATGAACAACAAAAGTGTTCTACATTGACTCTAGATTCTTTTCTCATAGATTTTATCATCATTAACAAAGATAATACTCTATTAAGATGAACCAAGACAACAAATATTTATACAACAGTATGTTTGACATCACTTTATCCTCTAATAGGTCAAATAGAACATTAAATCACTTTTAAGATGAAATTTCAATCATGCATGCATAACTGAAATCAATTTGGAGACTGATAAATATTCATTTTTTTTCAAACTTTTCTTACTTTTTTGATTTTTAAATACCAAGTCAACATAAGAGACAATTATAGACATAGATTATACTAGAATGTGAAGAATGTGTAATAAAACACAACCTTAAGATAGATAACACACTTGCTAGTTTTCTCACAAATTTTCTATATTTTACAGTATTTCTATTTCAAAATGGATTGCAAATAAACTATTTATTTACTATTGCATAACACCCAATTTTGAAAAAAATATTAAATCCGACATATCTACTTTGACCACAGAATTGTCTGTCAAAGGAAAAATAAGCCATTTTCTTGCTTAAAAGAGGAAAAAAAGAGGTGCCACAAAACATTGCCACAAATTTGTCTCTTTTTTCAGCAAATTCAATATTTTCAGATTCATTGAACTTTAATACATTTATAAGACATCCACAAGATATAAACTTTGAGATAGGGCCCAATACATTAATAGCTAAGATGTTATTCTAATATTTGTGTAAAGTAAGCATACTAACCCTTTCTCTGTACCAATATTCTAAGTAAAGGTTTTGCTGTACACAGTGCTTTGTGGAAGTTATCATCATTATTTATAGGTAATAGATCTCCATGTACATCTGTATAGTTCACTACAAATGGTATTTCTTCCAAATGATGTAATTTTTCCACAGTGGAGGAGAAATCTGTATAGTTGAATTTCTCGGCAGTAAAGGAAAATCTCCTGAACTCGGCATCAAACTACAAAAGAAAGAAAATCAATTCCATTGTTCTTGATAGTTTCTTGTGATTCACACTTAGTTGACACTCTCTTGAAATGAGTCATTCATTACTAAGTCCAAAACAGTGTTCATCATTAATACTCGGAATGGCATATGCTTGCAATACATTTCTAACCGTAAACCAATGAATTACCAAAACTTGTTTTGGATTTCGAGTTTTGTTCTGACCATTAGAACGAAACTTTGTTTTTTTATCCTATGTAAGCAGATTATTAAACAGTCATTAGGCAGTTATAAGGAAAAAATTAAATTAATCAAAAAATTGCCTTATTGAAATATTATTCATTATCTGCATACATTTGATCAGATGAATGTGTGAACCTGGTTCTAAGTACTAGATCTTGCAATTCAATTGCCAAAAATTCATCATATTATGATACTTTTAGAAGACATTATCTATAAATATTAAACTCATCAACCGTTAAAAATTATTAAATAATTTTATCAATCAATCTTTTCCTTATACCTTTTAACTCATTAAAAGCAATGATCATTATGATTGACAAACAGATTGACCCTTTAAAACTGGAAGCAATAAAGTTATAAATTTGTCAATAATTGATCTTTATAGGCCTACTTTTCTTTTTATTTCAAAGTCTTTGTGAGTGACAGCTGTATAGTAGCCCAGCTTATGCAATAATCTTTCCTAATCTGGTGTCAAATTGTTATAATAGTATGATTAATATTTCTAAAACTGAGACTAATCTTTGAGCTTTGACCAACTGGATTATCTTTTATAATTCAATTCTAATTTGTGAAGATTTCTTTTTACATCATTTAGCAATTTGGGGACATCTAACAGTTTTACAAGAAAATCTTACATCTACTTGGTCTGATCACTTGACCTCGTCCTAAATTTGCCGACCCTTAGTTTTAAACCTGGTTATTACTTATGGCATGGTTTTAGGGTGGAGTAGCCTAATGTTGGAAATCAATTGACTAGAAATATAATTAAATGCAGATGATCCTTCAGTCCTTTCATTAAGCACAAATCTGGTACTGTAAATGATTTCTCCATAAATGTCTATGACACAACTAGATTATTCTGTCTTTTCTAACCTTTCACAATTATTTATTTATCAATATTTAGGCTAAGGATATGAATGTTAATACATTATACAGGGCAAGGCTACAACTACAAAACTTCATTGTAGCCGATTCAGTCTTTATCAATATATGATTGTGAATCATTATTCTATACAAAGTAAAGTCGAATATTATCATATAGTTGTCTCTGCTACATAACGGAGTAGTTAATTAGCGTGGAATGTGTAGATTATCGAGACAAGAGCTGAGTCAGTAAAGAGAGGGTCGAGACAGTCAACAACACTCAACACGCAGGTGCGACATCAGTCCGTCAACGATTCGCCACACCTGTAATAAATTCAGCAATCTTACCTTGCTTTTGATCTCTACTATGCCACTGTATGATCTCAATGACGTTTTGGAATTCTTCGCCATCATTTAGTTGAAGCCCTACATCTGTATGAGGGTCTTATAAATTCCTAAACAACAAAAAACTTTTTAACATCGACTAGCTTGACCTACTTTTCTTCTCTGACTAATTTCGTGACGTCACAAATATCTAATCTCAAACCAATATGAGTTTTGATATTTTCGTACTTGCCTGATTAAATTTGACGGTGATTTTAATCAAAGTGAGTTTTTTGAACTCCGAAAAATTATTTTCCTTCTTGAAAAAATTAAAATAATTTCGGTAACACACGATAAACTGAATTCTGTGGTTATTTTTTATCGTCACAATTTGCTTAGAGTTATTCAAGGGCGGGAATTCTTGTAAGACTAAATTTGTAAACAAAAAATTACACCAGAAAGAAATTGTTTCTCGTTATTTTAAAATATGTCTAATTTAAAATGTTTCCCAAAGTCAAAAACATCATGCCCACTTAAACCATGGCTTGTGGACTTCATCTTTAATTATGTCAGTAGCCACAACGTAACTGCAAATGCAGTAAAGATTATCGAGGTGAGACTTTTGACCCTCTGCTGATCACACTCTGACTGTGGCTGGTTCTTTTCGTGGAACAGCTGTGCTCTGAGTGAGTTTTTAGCTGTGAAATGTTGATTGGTTAGTTGGTAGATGACAAGTTAATGTCTGCTTCAGATAGCTGATAATGCAAACTGTTTTTCTGTTAGCTTACTAAAGTAGTGGAGAGCCACTTGTTACATGTGACATCTAGTAAAAAAAAGTCTATGGTAGTATGGATTTATTGCCCATGGATTCAAAAAAAAGGCTGCAATTATTTTAACAAGCATTGAAGAAAAACAAATTTTAAACAGGGCATTTTGATAGATACCATATTCAATTGGCCTGTTCTAAGTTAAATAATTCATTATATTCCCACTAGTCTCTGACACTGGATGTATTATGGCCCAATATCCTTGATCAATTGATTAAATCTTCAGTATATACTAAATTTATGTCTCAAGGAAATGTATGTCTATTATATTGATATATTACAGAATATAAATGAAGATGAAAATGGTAACATAATGAAACTAGTGACTGATGGTAATGTTCATATAAAAGCCAATCTAACACATCAATCTATACAAACTTGTATTCAAGAGTAAGTGCATATTATAATGAATGTTTTGTTCATTAACTTCTGAAGATAATATTGATTTTTCATGTGATGCTATCCTCAAACAATCTGTTGATCTTTTTGCTTATTTTCATAACTTTTGTTACTATCACATTTGTTAACATCAAAAATCTTTAATCCAAAGCGGCATGTAGGGGTAAAGATCACATTAAATAACAGAACTTAATTCTATGGTATATTACATTTCACCTGATGATGACAATATAAATTGTTGAAACGCTAAGTACAATAAAACTAAAGAGTAGTATACCATAAAATTGTGTTCCATTATTTTATTATATGTCTTTAATATCTACAAAATTAAACAACAGTTTGAAATATTTTTTTCATGTATTTGATGTCCTATGTAACAGTTGTTTACTGGTATATTATAGAAATGATGATGATATGCCACCATGGGATAAAGCTTTAATATTGATGAGGAAATATTCTCTTTCATTTCAACCAAAAACTGAGTTGGTACGTATCAAAATTTTGCCATGAAGTTAGTAAGAGAGATGGAGTCAATTGCTATTAAAGATACATTTCTGTTATTTTTGTCAAGGAGTTTCTGGGTTATTGCCTTTGACTAAAAAATAATTATTTATCAAAATGGAAATTGATATTTAAGAAAGTATAATCAGCTGTTAAGAGAGTAGTTTTCAGATTGTTCCAATTTAATATGATTTATTTCAGGAAAATTGTGAATTTATTTTGATTGTTGATGAGTTTAAGTTGTGGGATTTACAAACAGGTTTTGATTTTAAGAAAACACTTCATCCATGGTAAGAATTTTTCTTCTGTTGATTCCTCTCTGCTGTTCAGTAAGCTCAAGCATCATTAACAGTAATGAGTGGTTGTTTTTTAAAGTGTTCATAGATTCAAGAAATAAATATGTCACTTACAAAATAGTGCTCAATACATTTATATAGAGTGATAGGGAGGGTTCTCTGAAGAAAATATTCCACAAATTGAATTGATTTGGTGCATTCTAACACATATTTTGGGGCTAAAAAAGTCATTTTTCTTTGATGAAAAATATAATGGGGGTACAATTGGTGGTGCAGACCATTTTCTAGGGGGACAAATGCCGTCCACTGGCAAGTTTTCACCATGATTAATATTGCTTACAGTTGTAATATTGCTAAAGTGAAGATGAAGATACGTGAAAACTGGCAGAGTTGGAGGTCAGATTTACTATTTTTCCTTCACAAAGGTCAATTGCCTTTTTTAAAAAATTGAGTTCTAAAGAGAGACACAGGTGGCTGTAATCAATTTCTGGAAAAGCTTTTAATTCTATTCCAGTTTAACAAACATGTTATATTGTACGCATCAGGTATCAATTGATCACAATCCTAGTAATGTTACAGTTAAATAATCTATTAAAGTAATATATTATAGGCAATCTGTAATACCTGTTAATGATGAACCATCATCTATAGGAGACAGTATGGGATCACAGTTATTATCATTATTAGCTGAGATGGGACAAGAGACTCAACCAGAAGACTCTCAACCAGACCAACTTCCCTCTGTTGTCGATGATGATCCAGGTAAACTGACAATTTCATTTAAGTTTTGAGTAATGATTACGATATTTGCAGTTATGATTAAATTGACCCAGGCTGTAAGAGCATGTGAATTTGATGACATTGTGTATTTTGGTATGTGACAGACTGGTGACCTTCCTCATTATTATTCCAGTCGACCCAGCTGTAAATGGGTTCTGATAATCCTGGAAAGATCAAGAGGTAAGATACTATGTAAGTACCCTTTCCCAAAGAGTTTATACAGCTAAAATTTTATAACCGAATTTGTATTCTTTCAGCTTTCAGAAGCCACATCATCTATGTGTAGTACAGATATTCCACCAGTTATTACTGGTCCGACTTTGATAACTGATAATCCTTCCTTATCAGATAGTCTGAAACAGCCATTTTTACAGTATATTGATAATAAAGATCATCTTTATATCTTACATGAAACACCTGAATCTCAGAGTCAACAGGTATATTATATGTCCTCTTCGTTTTTTTCTCTTTTTGACTGATTTCTAGTGAAGTGTACACATTGGTGCTTGATTTAATTTCAGCTGTAACATTGGGAAATAGTTGTGTTTTAGCAACATGTTAAACTTCATAAGGAACACAGGCAGAAATAATCGATAGTGAAGATTGCACATTCAAATACTATCAGCATATTTCATAATTTCTTATTTTTGTGAAACTAGTGACTGCAAACTGGTCGTCTTATGCACTGCATTGTCCATTGGAACCATATATTTACCATTATTCTTAGAGCAATTTATCAGACAACAGAACTTCATTTTTTTGAGTCACCTAGTGCATTGCTTGTCCATGTTCTGTAGCTCAATGAGGTTGCAAAACACTTATGTTATTTCACTGTGTTAAGAAATTACTTTGATTATTTCAGTATGAGGAATATGAGTTTAGTTCACCAAGTGAAGTTTCATTAGAATTCTCATGTGAATCATCTGATGACAACAGCACAGAAAACAAAATGGCACCAAAACCTTCTCGGAATGATTCCACAAGTCAAAATATTAGACAAGAAATAAAGTCTCCTGTGTGTATTGAGGATGATTCTGATATACCTACTAATTCTTGTATACTTACTGGTGATAAACCAGAAATTTGTGAGAATGTGGAGAACAATGTGGAAGCATGTGGAAATGATACAGATACAGAGAGAGAGGAAAATCCCAATGCTAGTGAAAATAACAACAAACAAGCATTCTGTGGAAGTGAAAATAGTTCCAATCTCTGTGAAAGTGATAGAACGCTTGCAAAGTCTAATTCGGGATGTAATAGCGGTCAATTGAATTCTAAAGATTTTTTGCAAAGTTATGTGAAATATTTAAAAGCTTGTAGTACATCATTTAACCCCTCTAATACAAAACAGTGCAATATTGGAAAAAGTAAAACTGTCAATAGTAAAGCTGATGTTTTAATAAATGGTTCTATAGACAATGACCATGAAAAATCAACTTTGATAGAAACAAATCAGGATAATGTTGACAAATCACTTCCAGAATCTTCAGAATCTCAAATTTATACCAGTCTTGTTGAGAATGATTATGATTCAATTCAGTGGTGGTCATCAGCTGAAGACAATTCTTGTTTATCAAGTGAGGAGCAAGACAAGCCACAAGAATGTGAGAAAATATCAGAAGATGGCATCATAACAGAAAGTGACAAAAATCAAACACACAAAACATCAAAATCTGACAAAACTTCCAAACAGAACAAAAGAGTTAAGCGAAATGAAACAACAGGGGAAAACTGTAAATCAGATTTGGAAAAAATATCAGATTGCACCTCTAAACTGGAAGACAAGAGTACTCCAGAACGTGATAAAATTAAAGAATCAGAATTTAATTCCTCTGACACTTTGACAGATGTTGAAGATAATGTTTCTGGAACTCAGCCCTTTTCTATGAATAGTTCCGTGGAAATCCTGGAATCAATTGGAGATACAACATGTGTAGGGTTGAAATATAAACGAAATGTATCAGAAAAACGGGAAAATGACAATGACAATGACAATGAGCTGTCTGGCATGCAGCCATTGGTTTCCCAGCCTGAAAGAAACAGTGACAGTATTTCAACACGTGAACCCTCTGATGAAATATTAAATTCCAACTCTAATAATAGCTGTGAAATTATTTACAAATCAAGTTCATCTTGTTATGAAATAAGTGAATTTGAATCAAAAAATTCTTCAGATTCGATAAAAAATATTGTGAAACCTGTTATATGTGATGCCCAAAAATCTGGAAATTCGTCTATCATTTATCAGTCGACTCAGAAAACTGCCAGTAAAAAAGAAATGCCTTTATTTCCTCTATCTCCTATAAAAAACCCAAAGCAACCCTCTACTAGTAAAGACAAAGCTAAAGACAGTGTTGAAAGCCTTGTATTTGATACTGAATATGAAGAAGAGCTAAGGTTAAGAGAATTGGCCAAAGCTGATCCGAAAACAAACTTGAAATCAAAGGACAAATCGACATCAAAGTTTGGAAACAGTAGTTATAATCTTCCTGCAAGTGGAAAGGCTTTGAATGAATTAGGTATGAAGGAGAAAGTGATTCAAAATGAACATGCTGATAAGAGTGACAAATCAAATCAAGAAAAATTATCTAAAACAACTGTATTTAATTCTGATAAGGCTTCTAACTCAGATCTGTTGCTGATAAAAGCAGCTCAATCTGCTGAAAAAGGCTTCCCTTTGAAAATTACAGAAAATTCCAATTCTACAAAATGTCAAACTTTACAAACTTCTGTGACAGTTAATCCCAGCCCTTCAGAAAAAATCAGTTCAAAGCCTTTTCAGACTCAAAAAGTAATTAGTGACAAGGACCCTGAGATTGTTCATCCACTGGAAGAAAATCATGTTGAAAAATCTGTGCCTGAGTCTAATTCAAAGTTATCAGAATCAGTGATCATTATAGTTTCAAGTGAATCGATATCTTCTAACTCAGAAGAATCTCGTTATTCTCAAAATGTGGTCAGTTTTTGCACTAGTCCAAGTAAAAAATGTCCTAGTCAAGTAGCTAAGAGAAAAACTAAAGCGAATGTTTTAGCTATGGATACTGAACCCAACATTATAGATGAATCTCAAGACATTCCCACTAGTGAAGTCAATAACAGTATTTTAAATCGTACCACATTGTGTAAGACGTCTACTTCCAGTGCTCTGCAATCTGATCATTCCATTATTAATTTGAGTGATCTAAGTGACACCTCATCTGAAGAAAGAGAGGAACCCAATAAACAGACAAACCAACAATTAAAACATGTGCTTTATGAAAGACTAAGAAAGAGAAAACGAAAATTGTCCATGGGTAGAACAAGTTCTGTTGAAATTGGTGAACCTAATTCTAAAAGAAAACGATGTGTACAAGAGCAAAAAGATGTATGTGTTGATGTAAATCAAAATCAAAATGGAAATGTGTCCAAGCAAAAAACTGTTTCCATTGTAACAGAAAGCAGAAGGCCTACAAGTCAGACATTGGCTTCAACCTGTGATAAAGGAATCTCAATAGAAAAGACTAAAGATATGACTCCAAGTGCCACGAAATCTGGTGCTAATAGTGACAAAGGTTTTAATTTGAAGAATCAAAGTGTACAAACTGATAAATGTAAACATGCATTATCGAACAATAATGATCAACTTAGAACTAGCAGTAGTAGATCCAATTTTATTGTTGATCAACCTAGATCAAGCACCAGTAAATCTGATTTAAATGTTGATCAACCTAGGTCAAGCAGCAGTAGATCTAATACAGAAATTAATCAACCTAGGTCAAGCAGCAGTAGACCTAATACAGAAATTAATCAACCTAGGTCAAGCAGCAGTCGATCTAATATGGTGAATGATCTACCTAGGTCAAGCAAAAGCAAGTCAAATATGGAGGTTGACCAACCTAGATCAAGCATCAGTAAATCTAATTTAATCGTTGGTCAGCCTAGGTCAAGCAGCAGTAGATCTAATATAGAAATTGATCAACCTAGGTCAAGCAGCAGTAGATCTAATATGGTGAGTGATCAACCTAGGTCAAGCAGCAGTAGATCTAATATGGAGGTTGATCAACCTAGGTCAAGCAGCAGCAAGTCTATTATGGAGGTTGACCAACCTAGGACAAGCAGCAGTAGATCTAATAAAGAAATTGATCAACCTAGGTCAAGCAGCAGCAAGTCTATTATGGAGGTTGACCAACCTAGGACAAGCAGCAGTAGATCTAATAAAGAAATTGATCAACCTAGGCCAAGCAGCAGTAGATCTAATAAAGAAATTGATCAACCTAGGCCAAGCAGTAGTAGAGCCAATATGGTGAATGATCAACCTAGGTCAAGCAGCAGCAAGTCTATTTTGGAGGTCGACCAACCTAGGTCAAGCAGCAGTAGATCTATTATGGAGGTTGACCAACCTAGGACAATCAGCAGTAGATCTAATAAAGAAATTGATCAACCTAGGCCAAGCAGCAGTAGATCCAATATGGTGAATGATCAACCTAGGTCAAACTCTAATAATAATAATAAGGAGATGTCTGAAGATAGGAACTGGTGGGAAATAAGTAACCAGTCTCTTCATAAACCATCTAGCTCCAAAGGTAAGTATATTGAAAACAAGGATTCATTAAAATACAAATCAATGAACACCAAGTGCTTCTACTCTTCCCAGTGCCGTTTCTATGAAGGATTAAGTGAGGGGGCCACATTATTTTCTTTTTTAGGGAGTTCATGATCCCACCTGGCCCCCAAGAGACTTTTGGGCTATTTTCATAGTAATTTTGTGCTAATATTTCTGGATAATGACTCTTGAAATGCTATGATTATGTGGAACTCTTTCAATGGTTTTTGTAATTTTTGATAATTTAGCTCAAAATCATCGTAATCTTACACTTTATCTTGAAAATTAGACTTCAAATATTGCCAATTTTTAAGAGGCAGTTGCGTCTTATAAATCTTTGAAATTTCAGGTGCAAGAAATGATTCCAGATTACCTGAACATGCTATGAGAAATGTTCCTCAGGTGAGAAATTTCATTTTTGATGCAGACTTAGCTTAGATAATAAGCTCAGTTTAGATCCATGTCTTTGTGCAATAATAGCTACATTATAATAGATAACAGAACAAATCTGATGATAATCAAAAGCAATATAATTTAGCTGCAATCATATATATCAAAATCAAAATGTTATCTTAAGTTAGCTATCATGGGGAATTGTTTTTGTATTGAATTCTTTTTTCTTTCAGTATTTTGAAGAATTATTTGAAGAGGAACCACCGTCTGAATTACAGCGGAAATTGTTGAACTTCAAAATCCTCTCGGACAAGTTTGACTCTATCCATAAATATATTCATAAATGATTATACATGTTATTATTAAGAAGATGATGTTTTGTTAAGAATTGAAGTATTTTATTGATGGTTAATTTTTAATAATAATTTGTATGTTATAAATAAATTTTACAACAAAATAATAAAAATCAATAAATTTTGAATAAATATAATAAACATATCACAGTAAATATAAATTCCATAAAAAAAATAACTGATGCCTGGTACTATTTTGTTAATCATTAGAACTCTTTATCACTTATCATTTCAAAACATTCTTTCTAAGATCTACAATTTTTTAAATTCTGTTATTTCATTTCAAAGTTATTATTAAAAATGAATTGTTCTCAGAAATAATGTTTATTGGAAATTAACAATTTATATTTGAATAGTAGGTCGATTGCTAAAATATCATGATTTTATTTCATACCAAATCATAAAATCTTGACTTTACTTTATTGAAATGAAATGAAATGAATCAAGTTTTACATCCTACTTTTCTGCTTTACTTTATTGAGGCGATAGTGAAATGGACCCAGGGTTATTTTATTCTGAAGAACACAACCAATAAAGAATAACTGTATACCACTATATTTATTTAGCCCATTTACCATAGCCAGGTTTAATACCTCTTGTATTTATAACATCAACTACAACATGATGTTTAAATTCATTCCACTCTCGTTTTAATTCTTGTTGCATATATTCTTCATGTACATCATCCTGTAATAATATAAACTATAATTTAATATTTTATACAGAAAATTGGGATCCGATTTCTCTCGAATTATCTTACGATTAATTTTGTCGTAGGAGTTGAATTTCCCATTGCAAAATACCATTTTTATGACAAAATTGATAAGATCTTATGTCCCAATGTGCAATACAGAAAATGACATCTATATCCCATAAATTATAGCAATACAAGGTCCCAAGGTCACTAATTATATACCACAGCATATTAGACAGGTGGTCTTTATGGTTTGAAATGTCTTGTAAATGCAAGAAATTCTTTTGTTGTTTTGTTATTTACAGTTTTATATTAATTTTAAAATATTCTGACCTTAGTTAAGTTACCAAATAAATGTGTATTGGACTGTTTGAATAACTGTATGGTAACTTCATCTAATTCTGAAATATATAAATATGGTGCTGATAAACAATTACCCAAGTTGTTTTCATTGTAAAAGCTTAATAGCCGAAGTGAAATCCAAGTAGAAAGAAAGAAACAAACAACTATTTTACAAGGATAACAACTAAGGTTCACAGTTAAGGATCCTTTCTATTAGCTGGTCCTTGGGCAAACCTATTGGCATTGATCTTTCCCTGATTATCTGTACCAATTTACAGCTGGGTCAACTGGAATTATAAGAGAAGATGACTCGTTCAAGATTTTCAGTCTTTCACACGCTGATCGAGATTAGAATCCACAGACGCCATTTGTTCGACGTAACTAAGCAATTGACGTCATGTAAAGAACCAACGCTTTAACTGACTATGCTCTAAAACCTCACAATAATAATAGTGTAAGCTATTTTGGATTTTTTCTGAAACCATAAAGTCTCCTTACCCTCAAGTCTCTCTGGTTTAATAATACCTAGTTCAATATTACTAGCAGTGACAATAGATGTAGACATAGGTTCCTTTAATAACACACTCAGCTCACAGAATGATGTAGATGGTCCCAGTCGACCGATAACCACTTGTTTCGATTTATGTTCCTGAAGACATTCATATAAATAATCCATTATACATATTGGCATATATAAGGCAGATAACTCTTTCCTAAAGGTTCCCTCACATAATAGCCATTACCGGTAGTGTGTGATCGCGAATAATTAAAGTTGTCATGAATACCAAATAGAGAGTTACAATCAAAGCTTATGACCACTTTTCTTATTCGCAACCATACGCAGCTGGTGTACGGTACGATGTGAGGGCACCTTACGAATTATATCAAGATATTAGCTAAAGGGATAGGCAACCATCGGCAAGTGGTTCTACAGATCATTAGAAGATTTATCTCTATTGGTTAACTACCCATAGTTATAGTAATTAATGATATAAATGTTGACAAATTCGGTAAGACTCAAAATAAAAATCAATGCAAACAACTTTCAGGCTCTACTTAGGCAGTATTAAAATAATTTTAGTTAAAGTAACAATTTTCACTGTTTTATGTACAAAAAAAATTGGCCGTTAGACAAGTACTCACCTTTTGTCCATTTTTGAGAGTTTCTAAAACTTCAACTTGTCTTAAAACATGACATTCACCAGATTTAATAAAAGCTATAAATGGTGATTTATATCCTTCACTTACTAATACTATAATTATAAAACATAAAATAATAAATCATAGAATTTCTAGTGAGAATAACGATAAAGCCCCTCACAAAATATAAAATAAAAATTCTGATGTACAAAACGTTCAACATGACATTCAGTAATCATTCAAACAGACAGGTCTAATAAGCTTCTATTGCAGCTGACATGTATTTTAGGTTAAAAACCCATTATCAGGGCAGATGGTCAGGAAATGAAGTTAAATTCCAAAATAAAGACTTAAGTCTGGATGAGAATGATATGGAAGTCACTGTACTAATTGGAAATTACTTCCATCCATAGTACTCTTTGCTTTCAAGAAAAGCATTAGCCATATTCTATATTGTACAGAACCTGTACTCTATATTAACCAGTCATATTGTGTGGTAAATGTGTCCAAATGCATGGTAATCATTAGGTTTTTTTGAGTTATTTCACATATTAAAGATAAATATTAAAAACTTCAACACAAATTCAAATCAAAATACAAACAATTTTCAAAGGTTTCAAATGAGCAGCTCTGATAAATAGAAAAATAGTAAAGGTTTTACCTGTATTAGGTTTGTATGTTATCCACTCTATTAAATTAGATATTTGTAATAATGGCTGTCTAGGCCAGGAATTGTATTGACTACATGACAGTATTAAATTTAATTTCTCTGTATGTTCTTTCTGTTTAATTTGCTGTAAAAATTTCATTTTCATTGATGTACTTGGCATTATATTCCCCTGGGCGTCAATTAAGATTGATAGAACCAATTTTAAATTTTGACAAATCAATTAAATCTTGATGTGCATTTCATAAAATTGTTGAAGCAAATGAAATTAATCCAGTATTAGGTCAAAGATCAACCTATAAATCATTTTATCTACATTTAAAACAAGTTTTGGAATAAAAAAAATCTCACAAAAAACACTCTAGAATTTTTCAGTTACTTATGAGTGTGTTATGTAGAATCAAGGGCAATAACTGATGTTAACTCACCTCCATTACTCGTTTATAATCAGACGTTGTTATTTTCATAAATTCACAATTTGTCTCCAGTGTTTTAACAGTGAGAGATCTAAAATGAGAATAGTATCCTCAAAAAAAAAGCACTAGCCTAGGTCATGAAGTAACAAACAAAATCTTTAACATTTTGAGGTAAGTCAATAAGTATATACAATTTAGTTTAATTGAAATTTTAGTTTTACATTGATCTTTTTTACTCATAAATTTGACTAAAAAAAGATTCAATTCTGTTTGGAAACAAAAGAAAGACAATGCTTACCTGCAGGTCGGTTCTTCATCTTCTAATTTCTTCAGAGTTCCAAAACAATCTCCTACACCTAGCTGTTTTGTTTCACAAGAAAAATTAAAAGTGTTATAGAAGTGATAAAAAACAAATAGACAAAGATACTAAGAGCAAAGTCTTAGAAATTAGTTGGTTAATATATTTTCAGTCCGGCAGCAGTAAAAAACAAAGGTACTAAGAGAAAATCTTTTTGGTAATTGGGTAATATATTTCCAAGATTTTGGTCTAAAAGCAACCTTGTAAGGAATTTAAATTTTCAAATCTGACAATAGCATTGGTAAAAGAGACCACATTTATTCTCTTTTTGGAAGCAACTTGTACGCTATTAATCATACTATCAGGCAAGAAAAAATATAATTTCCATAACTTAAATAATAATAAATACATTTACCTTTTTGGGTTGTTTATCTTCAGTGTGTTGTTTATTAGTATCTGTTGTATCAGATGAGAAAGTTATTGAGATGTTTGTCGAGACATTAGTCGAGGTCAACATGGATTTTTCTTTATTAACTGGTACTATAAGATACTGGTTGGTTTCAGGTTGAACACAACCCTTTAATATAACATGCAATCCTATATTACCAAAAACTGAAATTAATAAACAATTGATTAACCATGTGGTACTTTCAAGAATAGATCCAACACACGGTCCTTTATCTCAAAAATATCTTGCAATAAGAATTTGTCGAAAATGTGAAATTTAAAAATGGGAAACACTGCACTTGACAAAATCGCAAGATTTTTTGTGCAGTGGGACCCTGGTCTTTAGCTACTTAAACACCATCCAAAGAGATTCACGAGGATCCTATCTATCAGCTGGTTCTGGCAATCCACATTTACGTCTGACAGAGGACTTCTTAATGGTAAAAAAAGTTTTGGGTAATCAGACTTGTATGCTTAGTCAACTTACTGTTAAAGTCACTCTCCTTCCAGACTTCTAATTGAGCTACTACACATAATTCTTTGATCACACTATCAGGAATATTATCAGCAAAGAATGGAATCGTTTTCAATATAGATCTCATTTTATCAATCTCAGTTGCACTTCTTTCAAATGGTCTGAAATATGTCATAACATATAAAGATTTGGATTCTTCAAAACTATTACCTTGTGTTCATTAGCCCACCCTTTGAACATTCTTTTCACCAAAATTATGACATTTTAGACCTAATCAAATACAATAGGACAGACCCTACATATTGACTGGGAGACATCTGTAAAAAGCTTTCAAAAGTTTTTGTCAGTGTCTATAATGCACAACCTCAGTTTGGCAAACCTTTTTCAGTTTAAAATACCGCGCACTATACACGCAAATATACAGTATATGATCAAGCAGGAATCCAGGGTGTTTAATATTGGTATATATAATCACTCATAAACTGAATCATTTGAGTGGAGTAGGCTAACTTTCTTGAAGAAATATATACTTACAATTTTCGAAGTAATTTTCTCAATATTTTCATCGAATCAGGATTAAATGTTTTAGGTTTATCTGTACGTCTTTGTTTATGATAAGTTTTTAAGTAATCTCCTATATTATGGGTATATGTTGTATCTGATGTAGGAGGTAAGATAGCTTTCTTCTCACTCTCTGTTGTTGGGCCTGTAATATAAAATTAATTAATGAATATAAGTTCAAAGAATTTACATATTACAAGCTATAAAACTACACTAAACAAGGTACAAAAATATTTTTACATGCTTCAATGTCAAATTAACAATTGCATTTTGATTTTCATAGCCAACAGCTCTTCTTATGTTGTCCACATGTGTTTCAGATATTTGCATATCTCAATGACAAAAACTTCTTCAGATAAGAAAATTGAGGAGCTTCTGCCTTCAACCCAAAATTTTAATCTTAAGATATGAAGACTACAATCAAATTACATCTATTACAAAAGCAAAATTTATTTATAAAGTCACATTTAAAGTAAAAAAATACATTCCATTCTAACCTGTTGCTTTTTGGCTCAAACTGTGTAAGGATTGATTTTTATTCCTGAAAATAAAACAATATCATCATATGAATGAATGAATTTTATATAAAGATAAGGGAACAGTAGACAGAAGAAATGTCTGTATATCTCAATAACTTCTTCACTCTTAACACTTGAAAAAAAACCCTTTTCTGTCTCCTTTATGGATTTTCATTCATAATGCATCACTGGACAATTAGTTTAGAAATGAGAGTGTAAGATTTATTAAATCAAAACCATTACCCTCGCTTGACAGAATGATCTGGAAACCCAATTTTCTTTGGTGGTTGAACAAATAATTTTTTATAATTCTCCATGAATAACTCATGGAATTCATTTTTAGATTCCTCATTTTTCCTAAAATCAAGTTAGTTAGATTAAGTTATAACACTTGATAGACCGGTAAATTTTAAGGAATAATAAATTTATAGATACATGAATATGAAAATGAAGGCATGAGTGTATATCTGGCACCTTATTGCCTAGCAGATGATAATTCAAGTCACAGCCACCTTAGCTGGCTCAGCAATCATGAGTCTGAAATTGGGGTTCATCCTGATCACTTTGACTTCAGATCTTCATGCATAAGCAATGTCCCATTAATGAGTCCATCTCACACAATCAATATAATATGCATGACATGTAGGGCTAGTAGATCCTATCCATGGAGTGTTTTTAACAGTTTTACCTATCTGTTGAATCATTAACTTGACACAACCATCTCAATTTCTCATAATCTAAAACTGGTCTATCTTTAATTTCTGGTACTGTAAATTCAAACAATAAATATTTAAGACCTGGAGTATCAACTCTTTGATATTTTTATCATGAAAAGATCAATATGGCAGCCAGTAGTGACAGGGACAGTGACAAGAAGGTAAAAATAGAAAGAAGCTATTTGTTTGTTATTCATACACACCAATAAACCTTGTGAACACCTCTGCCTCTGAGCTTTCGAATCGTTACATCGTGTAGGCCTACTGGACAAACTGAAGACACGGAAATCAACAAATTGCAACTTTTACTTTATATTTAAAACAACATACATTTAACTCTAGGTTTTTTAATGGCCTTGATATTCCAGGAAACTACATCATTATTCTGTTTCACAAGCGCCATTATCAGTTATCGCCTTATCCTTCAAACAAATGTATTTTCTTCTAACTAGATTGACAAAGCACCTGTCAGTCAGCCATGTTTGTTGACATTCGCGACGGAAATGTAGACTTGGTCAATCAAGCTTTCATTTCCTATTATCCAGACGCATAACTGGTAACGACCTGCTCAAGTTCAATAATCGCTGATAAATAAGAGGTTTCACTTCAAGGTCGCTATCTGAATAAGATTTCGCGCCAATTTCATTCGTGCACGACCTTGGTGAAAGTCAAATTTTAATAATTCTTAATACCAATTTGAGGGTTATAAACCAAAACCTTTTCTGGTCCGACTGCGGAATGGTCGAATTATGAATAGAAGCAATCCAGACATAAAAATGAAAATGAAAACTTGAGTCAAGTGATGTTTATTATAGTTTAACCTTGAGTCCTTTTAACGGTTACAATGTGAACACCAACTCCCCTCTTCCAGTAATTGGTTCTACAACTTCAGTTTACAAACAGATTCACGGAAGACATTTCATAAAATGTAAACCACCTTAAATTTTAAGTTCTGTTAACATTTTCACTCAAATCTCTCATGATCTCGACAGACTGAGGTCAAAGTAACATAATGATGTAGGAAATAGGGTGGAATTAGCAAGGGGAACTGGGAAACCAGAAGCATTATTGTTTGAAAAAGTTTCAGAAATTATTTCAGATTTTCCAGACTTGAACACTAGTGACAAGATACAACTTGGGGTCCTTTTTGGAGAAATTTTAACATGAGAAGGGTTTAAATATATATTTTGTCTTCAAAAGAGGGTTTATTGAACTGTTGATTTGATAGATTCTCACTGATATAATTATCAGCTAATTAGCACCTCTCCTAATTAGAGCGAATCCAAACTTTGTGACTTGATGTGTACTAAACTCTAGTGTCACTGCCTGAACCCTGCTTTGTGACTAGCATTAACTGTCTTCATTAAATGATTAACGGTCTTGTGTATAAAAACCAAATCAAGTAGCAGTTTGGTATGGATTTGTTCTGAAAAGATCTTAAAACATATAGATAGTGAGTTCTAGTCTTCTACTTTTGTTGTGTGAATTCTTTTAAATCAGATAATCAGTTGAAAAGGGAAGTTTTTTGGAGATAGTATTTATAGTGTATTAGAATACTCCAGTCTTGTGTTTTGAACATATATCTAGTTATAAAGGAATCAATCAGTGAGGAAGACTTTACACTGTTAATATGTGAGTTGTTTTAATCTCTGAAACTGTTATAAAGGAAAATATCAGCATTCTTTGTTTATTTCTGTGGAAATGCCAGACATGTATTGTTTAAAAGTCACTATAGTTGGATTTCTATACGATCTAAAGGACTTTTAGTTGGTTTTGATAAGTAAATCTTATTATTATAAAAGTGTGGTTAATGAAAAATGCTGTCCAATATAAGCAGGTAGGAATTTTCTAATGTGTATTTCAGTGCAAGAAATCTTGAATGTTTTTTGTATTAATTCTAAATAGAAATTCAGTGCTTGACCATTGTAAGATCTTACATTAATATTAATGTACATGAAATTCCGAAGTGACACTTTCAGGTGAATTTTGGGAGGGAAGTATGTTTAATTCAGTTGTTACATTTTCTAATCTTATTTCCATAATTGAAAAGCTTTTGAAATTTGACTTTTTATTTGACCGAACAAATCCTTTTGTGTAATGTTAATATACAATTGTTCCATGCTACCAATATCAAAATATTAACTTGTCTGAATATATACTATATAAACTTGTCTTTAAAAAACATTGATTTATTCAAGACAAAAACTTCAGTGGGTTTATTCTGAATATTTTCTCTTCAAACCAACACCTTTTCTGATATTTCTATACTGAATTGTCTTCTCTTGACACATTATAAAGTAAGTCACCTTAATAATGAATCAATATATTATTGTACTAATTATTTCAATTTTCATTGAATTTTACCTGAATGTTACCATGGTAACCTGGTTTGTTTGATTCAGAATTAGCCTCTTCATATATGTAATTGATTGTGTTAATTACCATGGCAACAGAGAAGTATACATTAATATACATGTCAATGTATGGAGCTTAATTACTCTTGTATTGCATTAAGTTGTTTTTTTTCTGCGTTGTTTATTTGAGTTTACGGAAATGTCAAGATAGGAACTTGTTGATCGGGAGTGAAGTATCAAATGATAATGGTTATTGATTGTTGTGGCTAATTAACAGGTGATGTAGGATAATGGATCTCCAATCACATTTAGTATTATACTAACTTATGAAAAATCATAGTTTGAGGAATCCTGTTAATATACATGTTCTCTATTCAGGATTAAACCAATGTTCAGGTTAGACTAATGGATTATTTAAATCATGTTTTCCAGAATAAACATGCTTGATTTCTTCAGAAAATACATATATATCTTGATTTATGTATCGCAGTTGATATGGATATCATAGATAGGTTACCATATTAATGTTATAGTGATATATCGCTTATTCGCAATTTTCAAATAACTTCCAAGATAGTGAGACATAGTATCAAAATAAATAAATTTATCATGCAAATATGTACAGTATGTTATTATTTAATTATATATTTCTTAATGATTTTCTTTTCTGGGAAACTAGACATGTTTGTCAAGACTTCATAATCTAACTGAGCATTTTGAATAAAGGTAGACTACTCAAAATTTAAGTAAAATTGGATATTTTTTATATTTGATAAGTCTTAGAAATAAATTAACATTTTATTTAAGATGTGTTTTCAAATTTAAGTCTAATTATATTGTTAGATAGTTTTTATTAAGCTGAACATTCTTTGCTTCAATATAGGTTAATTTCATTTTATTAGGAAAATAAACAATAAAACATTCAAAAATTGTGAATGTTATTACTATACAAACAAAGCATTAATTCTGTCAAAATCTCGTCCCTGCTTTATTATATAATGATTTTAAGTACAATTTAATTCCAATGAACCTTTATATACTATTTTGATTGTACTTTGGTATTATTTGGTGACTTTGTTTCCTAACTATATGCCAATATGATGTGGCCTTTATTCCATGCCTCTTGTTTGTGTGGTATGATTTTATCTTATGGATCGTGATATTATGATGCTATTGGATTACAATTTTATTCTTCCTGAATAGTTTAAAAGGATTGTAAAGAGGTATTCTGACCTTTTTTTTTATCTGCCTCGAAAACAGATAGCATCAATTTGCATCATTTCAGTTAGATGTCTGTTTTTCTTAAATCTACTAAAACATTTCTTCGATGTCACTTATGCAAGAGCTGGTAATAATTTATTAACAGTTTTTGAGATGGTGACATCATATGTAGTTAAGCATTGCTATAATAATAGAAACCATAGACATCTGACAGAAACCTTGAATGATGTAAATAAAAGCCATAAAAAGCTAGAAAACCTCATTACAACCCTTTTATTTCAATCAAAGACTTTTTTCTGCAAGTATGTCTGATAAGCCACATGGTAAGAAAACTACTCAGTATACTGTTTTTTATTCATGACCATTTTGATTGTTGTCACTTCTAATTGAGTTCTATTATAGACATTTACATGTCTGATGAACATTGTATGTCTCTACAGGTCTAATGGATGTCACTTCCATTAAAAACTCAATTTGGTTACAAGGAAAAAACCAATAATTTGAAATTATTTGAAATGAGTTTTTCTTGTTATTAATAGCAATATATATAGTAAACTACGTCAATTTTTTCCTACCATGTCTTCACTTTAATCAATATATTTTATGAGAAAATGTCATCATTTAGGTCTATTTTGAGAATGTCTATATAGTACATATTATGATTTTTTTAATTAATTAACAGAACAGTGGTGACAATTATAAAAGTATTTTTTACTGATATTTTGGTGTGAAATCAATGTTAGTGGATAACAGTCCAGAAATTCCAATAATTAAAAAGTAAAAAAGGGACAAAAAATAAGCAATAACAAATTTAATGGTTGAAAAGAAACCAATAAAGATATCTAATAAGGATTTTTTCAAAAAATCTTAAAGTGAAAATGTGTAGGAAAATCAATATGTTCTATATTTTTTGATGTTCCTAAGATCTGAAAATTTGAATTGACGTAAATTAACTGTAGCCAAATTATGACCAAGTTTGAAAACTTCACCCATTCTTATAACCAAATAACTATTATTGATCATATTTCTAACAACAATGATGCCAAAATTGGTCTGGATTTGTTCTTTTTTTTGCCATGGAACCATTTGTAAAAGTTAAATTGACTAACTTGAAGAAAAAATCTGGGGTCAGACAGTTTAACTTTAAAGGGTTGTAAAGAGGTTTTTTGAACTTTGTATGTGTATCTGGGATAATGATAGTATGAATTTGTACCATTTCAATTTTATGTCTGACATCTGTGGTTCCTGAAATTCTAATAAAACTAAGCATATTATGATGTCACTATCACAAAGGGTTTTATTATTCTATGGTGACATCATAAAACACTTAGTTGTAGTAGAATTGAAGGAACCATAGACTTCTGACTGAAAATTGGATTGGTGGAAATCAATCCTAGCAGTGTGCCCTATACATATAAAAAGTTTAAAAAACCTCTTTACAATCTCTGAGTATGATTAAGTAAATATTATTTCTTTACATATTTCAAACATTTATTATTACAGAGTAAATAAAATATAGCAGATATTGTTGAATGTTGAATTAAACAAAAAAATCCTTATTTCAAAAAACGTAATGGATATTTTTTTTTCTGAATGGCAGTATCTACTTATCAATTAGACCTTTCAAATCAGATTATTTGATTTGATTTATTTTGATAGCAAAGCTTTTTGGTTTGTGTGACTAAAAGTCAACTTCAGTACTTATAAATAAGCTTAGTCTTATTGGCTCTAAGTGCTAAAAGCTTTAACCTTCTGAACCCTTTTGTACTTACCAGGAAGAGAGATTGTAAAGTGTGTCTCTTGCGCATTTGGAAAAAGTGTACATAATCTTTCAGATATGAAAACAAAAGGTCACCCAACATGATTTTTAATTTTAAGAGGGTCATGTACATTTTAATACCATAAACTAAAATGTAACAGAAAGCTTTTCATATAATAACCAATTCTTTTGAAATGTTAGAGTGGAACATATGATGCATTAAAATGGCAGGATCACTATCCGTTTGACCAATTGTACCTTAGTCTGAGAAACTGGCTAATCTAATCAGTAATAGTCTTCACAGCTCATCGTCGAAATTTGAGACTTCAAATCCATGTGTATCCAGAATTATCAGTCTTTGAAAGTAAAATGATGAGTCGTCTTTTCTTGAGACACCACCATATATAGTAGAGACATATTAGAAATACAAAGTGAAATTTCTAGGTGAAGATGTTTTTGAAGGAATAATGTCGTTTAGATCTAGTACTTCTGAAGACTATTCATACATTCAAGACCCATATCAACCCCGAAAATGGCGAATCACTTCCTTTAATGAAATTGACATCAAAATTGCCAATATTTTACTATGTCATTTGAAATTGGATATAGTGCCTTTTACCTAAATTAGAAGTTTTCCTGATGGAGCCATTGAGTATTTCAAAATTTTTGCTCCATCCAATGCTCTCAGAGTGTTGTGCGTTTTACCCAAATTAGTAATTCTTCTGATTTCATGATTGAAGCAGCCATTATAACAGTATGGCAATGTCACAGTGTTATTCAGAATTAATTCAATCGGATTCCTATGATGTATATTATTGTCATTATTTTATAGATTTTCTATGAAATATGTCCTCTATTATGATTAATCTATAACTCACACTTGTCATCATTCAATATATTTCACTAACAACCCGTTTCCATTGACATATTTAATATATTTTACTAACGACAGGATCAAAATGACATATTTATAGGCAATGACATTATCAGTGACTATGATTTTGGATCTCATAATGAGTGTTGTTTGCCAAAGGGGTTGTTATTCAATACCTATAGTTTTCTTGAATTTTTAATGCATATATCCCATTTTGTTTTACATTAACTGAAAGGGATCTGGAAACAGACTTATTGACATCTTTCTCCCAGTCCAATTAATAGGGTTCTTTGAATATTTTTTTTGGTAAAATTGAGTTATGAATACTGGTGTCAGATAGACATTTTGGTTAAAATACTTCAGCTATCCTTGTGAAACTTGACACTGTTTGGCCTACCTATGCTGAAAAGTATGTGGGAGTGCATGAATTACATGGTTGCTTAATAGGGATCACCTTTGATTATTTTTGGTAGACTCTTGACTTAACAATGACAACCTGAGATAGACATTTTTCGTTAAAATCCTTCAGTTACTCTTATGTTAGAGTGCATGACCGGCATGATTGCTTTATTCTTAATACCTAACATCATCCAGTTCAAATTCAAATGACGGCAAACTGTTCTATTGTCAGCTAGCAGACTTCTAAACTGTGACCACAATTAGTACCAAGTCTATCTCTTTGTGTTTAAAAACACTTCCTTCCTGATGATAATAGTTAACCAAGACAATTAGATTCACACTGATGAAAATAACACCCTGTCAAAGTTTGTTACTGTTTAACTTGTTCTGTGATCATTAGGGCAGAAGAGAATCAACAACATTGTCCAGCTACGATTCCTATCAATAATGGAGTTCTTTGCCTTCTAAATTGAGCTGTCAAGGTCACAATAATGGCGAAATAGTAATTATATCTAAGGCATGTAGATTGGAAGTTGAGCTCCTTTTTACATTCCTAAATCAAGACAGATTTAGTACTAATCTAGCATTAACAAAAACAAAACCTTTCATTGTGGCTAATTTCATACACACCCATGACTTGTGTCACAATATTTAGTGTAAGTGACCATGTCTAACTGACTTGTGCTTGAAATATTTGTGCCTACATGACATTGAACCTGTGGCAAAGGTGTTGATCAAATTTTGGTACCTCAATATCATGATAATATCTGTAGAATTTGGGTTTTCATAATATTGTGTTGCAATGCATTATTCAGAAAGATAAAAAAAAGCAAAACTGTCATTGAAAAAGACGCAAGATAAGAATGGACTTCCTAATGATTTAAACCCAGGGTCGTAGTTTACATTGAAGGATGAGCAACAAGTTACTATTAAAAGAAGGCATCATCACTATTTGGATACTATACAATGAACTAAATAAGTCAGTGTGTAAGAAAATGTCTGATCTAAACTCTTCTTTGAATTTTGTGTTCAATTACAATGTTTTTATATTTTAGATATTTACAATGAATGTAACAAGGTCACCTGTGGTGTCTCCCACATCCCATAATATTCAAGTTGTCACCCATCCGTGTGTACCTGATGATAGTCAACAAGAACTACTCCAACACACCATTAGTCTTAGTAATACTGAAGATGGTATGTAGCATCATTTACTAATCTTATTCTTTAATATCTTGATAGTTGCTAATAAGTGAAAGTAACTGTAAGCTATATGAGAGAGGTTAGTTAGATATGTGGAAAGAATTAGTCAGATATATGGGAAAGGTTAGTTATATATGTGGGAAGAAATAGTCAGATATATGGGAAAGGTTAGTTATATATGTGGAAAGGAATAGTCAGATATATGTATATGGGAGAGGTTAGAAGAAATAGTCAGATATATGGGAAAGGGTACAGTCAGATATATTTGGAAAGGTATAGTCAGATTTATGGGTAAGCTAAGTAGGAAGTGCATGAAAAACTAGTCAGGTATGTGGAAGGGTATGGGAAAGGTTAGCAAAATATTTCGGAAGAAATAATAGATACATGGGACTGGAATAGAATAATATATGGGAATGAATGTAGTCAAATATGGGGGTTTTACTCATTCCTTAAAGTTTTCCATCTTTTTCAAGTATGATACTTCAAATATAAAGAAGATCTGAATATTTAGTGCCCTTTGTCTTTAATATTAAAAGGAAATTTTTGTAATATTGTTTGGTTTTCTATCAAAGTTAAAAAGGTTTAATCATGTATAACAATCCTGACATTTAAAATCAATAATAATATTGATAATAAACAATCATGATTGGATATAATGACATTGATACCTTGACCAACTTGTTTGAAAAAGCAGTCAAGTCAATAAAGACAAAACTGAATGATAAATGTCTTCAATTATTTCAAATAATTAAAGAAAAGATGTGTTTCAAAATGATAAACGTGTTTCAAAATGATTAACAGTGTTTTTAAATGATTAACAGTGTTTTAAAATGATTAACAGTGTTTTAAAATGATAAACAGTGTTTCAAATTGATAAACAGTTTTTTAAAATGATAAACAGTGTTTCAAATTGATAAACAGTGGTTCAAAATGATAAAAAGTGTTTCAAAAATGATAAACAGTGTTTCAATGTTAAACAGTGTTTAAAAATTATAAACAGTGTTTCAAAAATGATAAACAGTTTTTTAAAATGATAATCAGTGTTTTAAAATGATAAACAGTGTTTTAAAATGATAAACAGTGTTTCAAAATGATAAACAGTGTTTCAAAATGATGAACAGTGCTTTTGACACAAACAAAATGCAGCAAAATCAACATACAGTATTAGTCTAAGAGACAGCGGGCTACAGTTTCTTATTTTATGTTATTTTATATTTATCATCAGAGTTTTCTTGCCTGAGCAAAACATTCTTGTTGGCCACAAATACATTCCGAGGTTTTGATTTGCACTTTTACTGGGAATAAGATTTATATACACCGAATTTTCCTATTGACTGTATTCCGTCTTGAGCTAATGATGAGTTTTGATTTAGTATTTTAATGTAAGTTTTTTTTTACAGGTATTGATAATCAAGTCTTTACCGTTGAATCGGCTCTAAATGAAGGTATCCAGACAGCATTGAGAAACACACAAATACCGTCTGTAACTTTTGATTGTAGTCAAGAACGACCAGTCTTTACCTTCGATACTGTATCAATACCAGAATCGACATTTGAAGATGGCTATGATGAGTTTCCTATATTTCGTGGGTTACCTGTCAGTCGACGCGGAAGCTTTTCCCCATACTGCTCTTCAAGTGAGAAGGACAGTTTATTTGTTCCTGATAGCATGACAGGTGAGTCTAAGTTTATTATAGCACAAGAACACAATAAGCTATCATAAAATATTAAATAAGATAATATTAAAGCTATCATGCTATGCATTCATTTAATGCTACTATGAAATATAATCTATAAATGCTCTCAAGAAATATATTTAAGCTATCACAAATTATCATATTAAATCTAGCATGAAATTTATCTCAAATAATAACAGAACAAAACCCTAAATGCTGCATAAGAATTATACACAATTTTAATACAACTGTTGTAACATAGTTCAGATCTGGCCTGTAGTTTAAATCGGCCCTGGTTGAGATGCCAACATCAGTCTTAGTACAACATGGCATCAGAAGAACTTGATGGGCTTCTCCATGATGAGTTGTAAATTGCCGACATTGATGAGTTCTCAGGTTGATTAGCATTAATTAGACTACGGTAATTAGTGATTTGCCAATTTCCAATCAAATCAACACAAGTGTATAATGATAATAACATCTGACAAAAGATGAGATCTTGGACATGATCCGTTTTCCTGCTTCTGTTGGTTTTCCTATCACATCAACCTCAATAATAAGCATTCATGTGAAACAGCTATTATAACTGGATAAGAAGCTCAATCATTAACGTTCTGACCACAGAAAACTTGTATGATTGTCGGAAGAATCTTAAAAATTTAGGTCAGATTTTAAAGGAAACATTTTACTACTATTGATTCCTAAGATGGGATCTTCTTTAATCGTGTATCATCTCAGCTCATAAGTATTGTATATAATGCGCAGTTTATTACTCCAAAATGGGCCCCTTACAGAATGGGTGCGCACTATACACAGTTAAATAAATTTTTAGTTTTTTTCCCATTTGAAAATACCGTGAATCGATGTTTATACACATATAAATTCCTTGTTTTATTCCTGTCAAGATATGGGGTCAATATTTCACAGAAATGTTCGTATGATAATTTTGCATGCATGAGCATGTAAAAAGTTGATAATATCTTTGCATGTGAAAAGTAAAGCTATTCATTTTAAAACAATATCTCCTCATATTTTGTGCATTTTTATAACAGACTTGTCTTTTATTCTATTATGTATATTAAGATTAATGTAACTGCCATTATAATAAGAATATATGATGAACCTTGGGAGGTAATTACACTAACTAACTTAGTGAACAAATCAATAATTTGATACAGGAAGTCAGAAAATGATTGTCAGAACTTCCAGGATTATTTGGAACACGTCTCATTTGATTAGTACATGAGTAGCACTAATAGTACTTCATTACCACTTCTGTACTTATACCTAGTAAATATGTCCTCAAGGCATTTAAGCTTCTTAAAGAGATATAAATATAATATTTAACAGGTGTTTGCAGTGCTTCGCAAGGTCAAGGCTTGTCTCTCAACCTAGGACATCCAAAGAAAGATTTTGGATTAAAGTCTCAGAATTTTCAGCCCTGTTTCTCCCCTTAAATGATGCAGATGCTGACCTGGAAAAAGGGTCTTGACTTTCGAATGTAACAAGGCTCCCCATATTCAAGTTTCCCTGGCTCTTGGAAAATATCCTGCAAAATGACCCTCATTGCACCATGTATTGAGCAAATTAGTTGCTCTTGAGAAAACCTACAGTCTATGTTTATGCTAGCATAGCCTGTCATAGGTCACTTCAGGCCCTTAGCTAGCCCAAAGTCTCACGTGGGGCCAGATTTTTTTAAGGAGGGCTTAACTATAGCGACTCAAGTCAATTTAGTTGTTTAAATTTTTTCAGGGTGAGCCAAAAAATTTTTAGGGGGTCCCTGCCCCCCCTCTAGCTACAGGTCTGGGTCCCTTCTGCCTGGTTTACCTTGAATGTCATATTGGTTAAAGTTCTTAGATTGTTGAAAATAAAAAAATAGGTGCTACTGTCTTTATTAGGTTGCCCTTATGTTACGCCTGGTATCCTCATTAGCAGAAGGGGCAGAACATTAAAACATGTGAGATTTTTACATCCTTTGTTTTATCTGGCAAGATCTTTTTTTTTTTTTATCTTGGCCAGTGCTTAACATAAGTCGCTATAAGAATCTTTCAAAGTAGAGGATATGATTAAGGGGAAATAATTCAATCAGTACTGTTCAAGTTTGAGGCTGTTTTCCATCATTGTCTTATTTTACTAACTAAGGTAATAGTATCTTAAAATCAGGAAATAATATACATTTTCCATTTTATCAATCCTTTGCTAACAGCCCTTTTTTTTTAAGCTCAAGGAAGTTTCACACAAATTGCATTGCTATTAAATTTATTTGAAATTCAAAGAGTGTTTGTATTTGAACCACTTGTGGTGCAATCTTTCATTAAGGGAATAGAAATTAGACCATAATAATAGCCTACTATCTAATTCACTTTCAGATTCAATTGGTATTCAAAGATGCCTCATCAAAACAACTTTATTTTCGAATTGCCAAGAAAAGTATCAATTTAATAACAGAGCGAAATTTTGGCTTGCGTTTAAAATCAATATAGATTTACTATAAACTAACAGAGTTATTTCCCTTCATTTTAAGTAATTGGACATTCTAAGACACTGAAGAATACAGTTTATAGATTGTTACAAAGAATATTGTTCAACATATTGTGCAAGTGTGTGTTTTGTGCACACATATATATTCTGAAATAATTTTTTGAAAATCTGGCATAAACATTCACCCTTGACATTAGGGCTATGGGATTGTTATCATTATCTCTGCAAAACGTCCAAATAATTACATACTTCATTTTTGTTATTAAGCTTTGTATTTGGGACTGCCGATTTCCAAACTGGCTAATCGAAAGCTTCTAGAAGCAGTTAGTTTTGTAAAGATGTACTTACTTAAAAACTTATGAGTATGGACAACCCTGTCTTCTAAGTAAAAGGTCCTTTTGATTGATTAAAATTCACCATCGTCCATTATGGTTGTCAGTTAGTTATCACCAACAAGCCATAGAAAATCCATATATATTAGATCTATTGTATTAGATATTGTTTTTTCTGTTAAGATTATATACAAATGATCATTCCCTATTCTTATCAATATTTGTATTAATAATAAAGGTTACAAAATATACTAATTGTGTATATATGATTAGTAATATCAGAATATTCTGAAATATTAGTTATACTAATAATGATAATCAGGAAACAATATTAGATCAATATGTACCAGAGGAAAGGTCAAGGCAATTGTGATTGGAAGATTATTTATATTGTAAACATATAACAATACCCTTTAATAAAGGTAATACCACCTATTATTTATATATCAAATATAGAATACCATATAATCATATTATTAGCTTCTGCTCTCTGAAAAGGATGCAGAGTTGACAATATGGTCATCAGAGCAGCAGTAGGTGTTCCTTTTTAGCACCTTGTTTCCAGTTGCTAGCAGGGGACAGTGGAGCCAGGGAGGCTATATATGACTTGGCCTCCCCATTTTTTAAAAGCTTAGGCTGAATAAGCCTAAGACTACCATCCCATGTACCCTGATTTTTGATAAAAAATAAATACTTTTTTTAGCTCTTTTATACAGTAAGTGTTTGTTGCCTCGATCAAATGCCATGCAATCATAAAATTAAAGTGTGTGTATTTGTTTCATATTGAAAAAGATTAGATGAATGTAATAAAGAAAGTTTGATTGATATTGGAATAAGTTTTAGCAATGCCTTATATAAGAATATAACGGTCAGTTCTACAACTTGTGTGAAGATAATAATGATAAAACAAATATAATAGTTTCTTCTGTTAACTCCTGTACCGGAACCACTGTGAGGAGAGTTTTACTGATAAAAACAAAACATTTAACTCCTTGGAAGATCTCCTTCTACAAACACCCATCCATAAATATATATTTGAATTTCGCTGAAATTTAGGACTTTGATATTGGGTAGTGTTTTAATGGAGGCAAATGGCCTTAATTTTTATTATAAGACTAAAAATAATCTCATTACTTCTTCATTCCCTTTACAACCTTTGAACAAATGTCAAACAAATGAAGGCATAGCTCCCATTTCCAAACCAGTAACTATCCTTGTATAATATTTATAAAAATCACACTGGCTATTTGCATCGTCACGATGCATGTTCTCTTTGGCTGCTAACAATGGTACGAATAAGATAGGATACAATGGGTGGGCTAGTTTTTGGTTATATTAAAGCGTGAAGCCATTTTGATTGTCAAGAATGATATTAAGTGACTTTGTTAGGGTTAGGTAGGGATGGCCATATGTTTTTTTAATGCCCATTTCTGTAACGTCATGGTACGAATAGCCACGGTCTATAAAAAAAGTATATGTTGATGTAAAACATGAGGTTAACAAGGGCAGAAGAAAATAGTATGAGGCTGAAACTTAAATTATTTTTTTTTGTTCAAGATGTTCGTCAACATTGTCCATCAATCAATAATTCTTCTGTCTATAGATGGCCATCATATCTGAAATGTCAAAAGTTAAAATTATAGCTCTTCAGACCAGGAAGTCAACATAATCTGGGTGGAATTTTCCTCTTGAACTTAAAACTTCTGCGCTATCTGTGATTGACTGCTTTAGGTTACAAAAAAATGATTTAGTACATTTTTTAGATTGATCCATTCAAATGACAGTCAAATTAAGAAATTGTGAATGAATTTGCTCTTTTGAAATTATACATATAAGATGATAACAAGCTCTATGGGGTCTCCTCGATAAATGACCAGTTGAAAACCTCAATGTTTTTGCTAACTTATTATGTGCAACTTGTTTCAGGTTCCGTTTTAATACCCCTATATTTCAATATTGCTCTGCAAGTTATGTATTGAACACTGTTTGACATTGAAAATATTTTTTAAATGTGTTATGAATCATTATAGTAATTTCTTGATGGTATATCAAACATTTTGGGTTTGTATATACAAATAAAGTGTATGCCTATTGCAAAGAAAAATTGTGCATATTGTATAAACATTTTTAATTATGTATGTTATCAGTACTCTTCCTTCTGAAGGATTTTGTCCAATGTTCATTTAGTTTCAAAATATACCCCATTTATTAATTAAAATTTCATTCAAAGTACAACTGATCTTTGAATGACATTTAACAACTACATTAAATCTTAGATCTATACTTAAAGATTTAAACCTCAAATCTTAGATCTATACTTAAAGATTTAAACCTCAAATCTTAGATCTGAAATTAAAGATGTAAAACAGATTAAATCTTCTTATGAATTCAGCCTAATACCCTGATGGTGTTAGTTCACTTTGTTAGAATATTAAAAGGGATTATTTTCTGTTCTGTTAGAATTAATTTTAGTCGTATCTTACTTTCTTATTAAAGCAAGATATCTAACTAAATACAAATATGAAATATCTTTAGCAAAGATCTGTAGGTGTAGGTGTGGATGCAGGTCTGTAGTATGACATAACCTTGTCGTTGACATTCCTGTCATGTGCAGTCTAATCAAATCAACTTGTGATGTGGCTTCATGCAAATTAAAGATAAAAGATATAAGGGCAGGCATTTTCCAATTTAGTCATTTTGGTTATGGACAAGGCTGAAAATAATTGGACGAAATATGGCCCTGATTTATTCATAAATGAACTCTTCTGAACTCTTTATCATATTGATAGGAAATGCACATGTGTAATTAAGTTCATTATAGGTTGAGAGATGTCAAATAGTTAATTGCCATCCTATCTCCACCCCTGGTTATGTATCACTTTAGGAGCGAGTTAATCGAAGAGTAATGCTTTAAATACTCCCACCTTATTGCAAAAATTTAGCTTTTAGAGATTTAAGATCATGTTTCCAATTATTTTTTTAGTCCACATCATCAGCTTCAGCCAGCAGCAGACAACAACCTTTGTGACAGATTAAATTTAAAACAATGAATTTTTCTATCATTGATTTTAAAAATAAAAAAATGATAGTCTGCCGTTTGGTTGTTATTATCTATAAATAGGCTACATTATAAACATATCTCACAAGTAGAGAATTTCATGAGAAATAATGTCCTAAAAGGTTGGAATTTCTGTTAGCTTATGTGCTTATACTCTTAATAAGTTTTTTATTTATGCAACCAAGTAACTATATCAAGATGACATTTATTCAAAGATGTTATGAAATCTATTCCATCTTCAGGTTTCTTAACAATTTTTTGTATCTTGAAAATATCCAGTACTTTCGATCAAAAAGCCTTCTTCTTATATTTAAATCTATTTTCGTTTTTTGGATCAAGGAAGGTCTGTTGTGCGGAGAATGTGTCTACAAATCTGCTCCTAATTGCAGAATGGCAAGGCCGTGCAGTATTAAGTTTTTCCAGGACAGTGACTTTAGCATACCTTGTAAGATTTTCCTATTGCTGAGCAAATTTATACAGATAACTCAAAACTTTTTCTATGCCAGATTTTCAAAATAATAAAAAAACACAGTAAATTTACTGGATATAAAATATTCAGAACCTAAAACTCTTAAAATTTCTCTTC